GATTTTAGCTCAGGGTGACAGTTAAATGGAAGTAACCAGCACCTTTCTGACAGTAAAAGATACAGTAACAGCTGATAACGTCTTGTGCTTCACGTTAGAGTCAGTGGTGATTGTTGAAACCGAAAGCAAATCTAATCAGTAACAAAATAGATTTCTTTCCAGGAATCAGAATAGCTGAGATAATAAATGACTGTAGCATCTTTTCAAGATACTGTTGTAACTGAAAGTCAAGTCAAATATGCTAAATATAACATAAAATATTAGGAGATAGCTCAGTGGAGGGAATGGTAGAGATGCGCACATATACAACGGAACGTCACGACTAATGTTTGTATCAACGGAGCACTAAATACTAAGTAAATAGAGGAATAGATAGATTTTCTACGAAATGAACATTCGATATTTAATACACACTAAACATATTGGCTATCAGTGACTGCCTCAGTGCACAGCTCACTTGCTTGAAGCTGTCAGTGACTCCCATAGTGCACAGCTCACTTGCTTGAAGCTGTCAGTGACTCCCATAGTGCACAGCTCACTTGCTTGAAGCTGTCAGTGACTCCCATAGTGCACAGCTCACTTGCTTGAAGCTGTCAGTGACTCCCATAGTGCACAGCTTGCTTGCTTGAAGCTGTCAGTGACTCCCATAGTGCACAGCTCACTTGCTTGAAGCTGTCAGTGACTCCCATAGTGCACGATCTCTTGCTTGAAGCTGTCAGTGACTCCCATAGTGCACAGCTCACTTGGTTGAAGCTGTCAGTGACTCCCATAGTGCACAGCTTGCTTGCTTGAAGCTGTCAGTGACTCCCATAGTGCACAGCTCACTTGCTTGAAGCTGTCAGTGACTCCCATAGTGCACAGCTCACTTGCTTGAAGCTGTCAGTGACTCCCATAGTGCACAGCTCACTTGCTTGAAGCTGTCAGTGACTCCCATAGTGCACAGTTCACTTGCTTGAAGCTGTCAGTGACTCCCATAATGCACAGCTCACTTGCTTGAAGCTGTCAGTGACTCCCATAGTGCACAGCTCACTTGCTTGAAGCTGTCAGTGACTCCCATAGTGCACAGCTCACTTGCTTGAAGCTGTCATTGACTCCCATATTGCACAGCTCACTTGCTTGAAGCTGTCATTGACTCCCTCAGTGCACGCTCACTTGCTCTAGACTGTCAGTGTCTCCCTCTTTGCACGCTCTCTTGCTAACAACCTTAGTCTAAGCAAAAGACTGACCACTTTCAAGTCCCTGCAGAATGGCTGATGATCGTAGTCTATACACTTAAAAAGCTGCTATATGTTTTTCATATATATCTTTCATATGAACTGTGTGATCAACTGATATGTATGGAAACATATTACCATTATTCAACTAAACAACTTTAAAACTCGTCTTGGATGAATGAATGAAAGACAAGCCTCCACTCTTCCAGTCTAATTGATTTTGAGGGTTGCCAGAAATATTGTGGCCAGCAAAAAGATCCCACTCTTTGTAAAAGAATGAAATAAGTGGCTTCTGGCAGTTCTTATACACAGAGATTCTAACATCTTCTGCCAGGGTATTCCATTGTTACAATCAGAACTTCAAAAGCTCCAATTTGTTCTGTAAATTCAGATCTCTTTCAAGATCACTCAGTTTACTTTCATTTATTAACTCTTTGAGTCCCAAGGAACGCATCATGCGTTCTCATGTTCCTACCTAGAAGCCCAATGAACGCACGATGCACCGATTTTATGACTCTCTTCACTACCCCTTGGGCCTGGTATGCCAAACCCCCTGGAACTCAAAGAGTTAAGTGTGGTTTAAAGGATGTAGTTTGCTCAAAATGTGGGTCACTGGAGGTTGGTGGTTGAGGACCACTATTGTTCTCTTCATTAGTGGACACAGTTGAAAATTGTGGTGGTATTTTGGCAACTGGTAGGTTCCAGGCATACTGCATACGTCTGGATATTCGTGTCCATTTTTGTCTTCCTTGATATGACTTTTTCAACTTGAGGGACCATGCAAAAGTAGTGGTTGTTGAGAAGATCATAAGGCTCTCTTCACATCACTGGTACTGCTTGCCTTTTGCCTGTCAACCAGCTTGTATCTGCTGCACATGTATTGCAGAATATGTGTGCCATACAGCGCTTATCTTGATCTCTCCTATTTTGCAGCCAAAATATAAAATATATGCATTCTTTATAAATTTAGTTATATTTTGTTTTTAGTCTTGGAAATGTCACCTCACCACATATATAACGGAAATTATTGGGCATTTCTAACTATGATAATTTACTAAGGACAAATGCAATAAATAATGGCAATATTTTATCAGACATAAGATAATTATACACAAAGGTGATGTAATCATAGGTAATAATGCACCATCAACTTGTAGTTAAAGTTTGTATTGGTTATTGTAAACAGTCTCCTACAACAGGTGGTGGGAGAGGGGGAAGAGAATGAGTCTAGTCTAGTTCTGCCCACAATGAGGCTCCAGAATCCACACGAGAATAAAGACAAGCTTAAGGCAACAAGCCATTGAAACAAGATCAGCGGATCTGTTAATTACAGTTCCAGCTTCACGCAAATGGGTCTCTCCATAATTGCTCCATTCCTGTACCACTCACAATGCCAAATGATGTCCTTTATGAAAATAAATTGAAACACTGTGATTTCGGCAGAGCCAACAGCATACGCACGCATTAGATACATAAGGCAGCAGTCAGATAATCAACACACAGAGTCTAATAGTCAATCAACCTTTAGAGAATATCGCTCTCTTCACGGCATGCCTGAAAGTATCCCTTTTCCTAGCTAGCTCTCTGGCCCCATGTCACAGAGTCTCATCGTCAATCAGCAAGTCCTTTACAAAACATTGCTCTCTTCACGGCACGCCTAAAAGTATCCCTTTTTCTAGCCAGCTCTCTGGCCCCATGTCACAGAGTCTGCCACGCGTTTATCATTGATGGAAGCAGCAGTCAGAACACATCAGCAGCTGCACAAAAATAATCACATAAGGGACTAACAGTTCTGTCACTGGCCACATGCCATTTTCTGAATCTCACAGCTTAGTGTTGTGTCATGCACTCAGCTCAGCAGCTGGGTGACGGAACTATATATGTTCAGTCCATATATAGGATAACACTGACAGCCAACTATGGTTACAAACAAATAACCTGCAAAGACTAAAACAGTCAGCCTGCCAGATTTAACCAAAAGTCTTGGTGAAATAAGAAAAGGCAGTAAACATAGTATCATTTCCAAGAAGTTGTAAAACTGAAAATAATGTGGCCAGCGGAAAGAAAATACCTTCATGGGCATTACTTCACTGTACTGTCTGTCTGTCAGTTTCTCACTGATTGTGTGAGTGGTGCACTCAACATGCTTGAATGGTAAAGTATACTATTCTGTAATGAAGACACCATTTTATAGAGACATCCAATAGGTGACTTAGAAAAAGAAAAATACTAAAATTTTAATCAGATTTGCATTTAAAACATAAAAACCAAATGGCTTTTAAAGTACCATCTTGACTCAAAAACTGAAATAAATAAATGCCTCTGTGGAAGATAAGTAGCAGCAGGAGTGAGGAAGAGAAGAAAGAGAAGGACGAGGAGGAGGAAAAGGAGAAGGAGGAGAATAAGAGATATACCTCAGCCCATAATCTCTCATGCAAAATCAATAGTCACAACAACAGGTTATATGAAAACATATTTAATTCTTTCCCTGCCTTCAGGACAGATGCAGACATACAGATAACATATGTATACAGCTCAATATATGAGCATTTGAATACATTCTGCAGGCATTTGATTGTTTATGGAAGAGCATATATCAGCAACAAAAAGGACGGGAACTGCTGTATACAAGTTATATGGACGGAATATTTTATATGAGTCACAGGTGAAATGTGAGGAGTGTATATGAGTGATGGGTGAAATATGAGGAGTGTATATTAGTAAGTAAACAGAGTAAAGAGTAAAGATACCTTTTCATACCTTAGGAGCATCAGGCATATGGGAAGAGCTCAAATATTTTTACAGACCAATCGTCAGCATTACACCCGCTGTCGTTACTTCCCTAGGACATACATCCTGGTACCCACTTTAGGCTGTGTCGACCTGTGACGCCTCATTCCATGATAAAAATCCACGCAGCCAGCAGTGGGTTTCAATCGCGGTACGTTAGAATTACAAGTCGGACAAGCAACGCCTAAGCCACAGACGCTGCATGTATATTAGTGGTAAGTGATGAATGAGTTGTGTGTGAGTGACAGGACGCACAATTTAAGGATGGACGATGGCAGAGTTCCTAAGGACATCCTATATGGTGAATTAAAGATAGACAGAAGACAATAAGGGCGATTTCTACTGAAATATAAAGATGTGTGCCAGCCGGAACCTAAGTGGGACTTGATAGTCACATTCACCATCACCACGGGTTGTGATTTAAATATGTCCCTGTAGCACGCTATATAACATTATGTGAGTGGTAAATGAAATAACAGAAATATAAGGTGTATATACAGCAAGATCATTATAAACATTGACACATAAATGCATTTATAAACAGTAACATATATTATTAATACTGTACTAAATTCATACAATAATATTGCAAAGCCCCAATATCTCCTCTGTATTGTAATAGCTGTGTGACTCCCCATGTCTATATCTAGCAGATCGCAGACTGAGGAGAGGCATGATCACCCACGTCAGAAGTCAAGGCACTTGATGATGATACAGCACACAGCTCTTTACAAGCACAGTAAAACCTTATTAACATGAATTCAAAGGGACCACAAATCGAGTTTGTGCTAACAAAAAATATCTGTGCTACCTGGGCACTAATAACCGTCTCTTATCCCTGCTGGAACCATTTTTTTCATGTTAACTGAGTGTTCTTCTTAAGCAAGTTTATGCTAACAAACTTTCACGGATATGCACTCATGCTTTTTTTAATGCAATTATGGTTCCCCTTGTGGAACTCTGCTGCATAATCCGGAGACTGTGGTAATTCAATAATTAAATATTTTTCACAGGGGATTTCGCTTCAGAAGTGTAACTGCGACAGGAGGTGACCTTTTCCCCATAAGGTGCTCCCTGATCTTGGATCTCCGTAGCTCTCTTGTAGTAGTGGGCAGCTGTCTGGAAGTCCTCCTTCGAGACCAGAAAGAAAACAATATTTAAATTTTGGTTGATAAATGAGGACTTCCACAGAATGCTGAAACCAACATAATTTACCATCTGACAATTAAATAAGACTTTTCTTGCTCATTTTTAAAAAAAAATATCCCTGAAGCAAAGCATGTCCTCCAAAAAAAGCAACATCCATCTATGATCTGGCAAAACTGGAACACGGCCCAGTCAGCAGATGACAAGTAAACCCCATACTATTTAGCTAGTGAAAGATGCATGGTTACATATGTAGCATGGAGCAAAAGGTAAACACAGAATTATGTGAGGCACCACTTGTGCACAGACATTTAGGTGACATTGTTGATTCAAAATTAGTGAGAACTGTTTTTCAAATCATAGATGGATGCTTTGCTTCATGGATGGCATTTTGTACTTCCCCCGTATTAAAACGTTTCATTTTTATGTATTCCTTGTGAGAGGTCTAGGGCTGTAATTATTTTGGGGGGGGGGGGGGGGGGGGGGGGGGGTATTACACCCCCATAAGCATGTTGTAAAATGCAACTAGAGGCATTTCTCAGGAGGCTGGAGTGCATCTGCCTGAGATACAAGGAACCAACAGTCTGCATACAGATAAGCCACATGTGTAAAACAGATGTGCATGCAAAAGTCAAGTTCTAAAACAAAACCAAAGTCCAGAAGTGGATAAACAGTCAGAACTTTCTACTGGCGTTTACAACTGGTGAACCTGAGGAATAACCTGTTTTCATTTCTCTAGTGTGTGTGTTTGTGTGTGTGTGTGTGTGTGTGCATACAATATATATATATATATATATATATATATATGTATATATATATATATATATATATATATATATATATATGTATATATATATATATATATATATATATATATATATATATATATATATATATCTATCTATATATATATATATATATATATATATATATATATATATATATATATATATATATATATATATATATATATATATATATATATATATATATATATATATATATATAAGTTTGTGTGTGTTCACAATGAACTATAGTAAAACCTTGCTAATATGAAGTCACTTAAGAAGAACACTCATTAACATGAATAAAATGTTGTTCCCTGCAATGGTGTATAAATCTGAGTCCATTGAAATTTTTATTTTTGAACTCATGAGTTTTCTGTCTCTTGGAGTGTGTGTTAAAGAGGCTAAACTGTACTTAAAAGCAATCAAATATCGAGTTTTTTAATTTTATTAACCCTATCAGCAGGGTACAACGAGTCACCAATACCCAATGATTCAAAGTGCAACCTTTCGGATGGGGATCATTCGGGCACAAGTCCCAAAAACCCTTTTTGGCTTTTAGGTTATATTAACCCTTTCGCTGCTACGTTCCCCGAAACAGTTGTCTGCCCTGTGCTAAGCAATGTGAAAAAAAAAGTCTCGGCTGTGCGCAATACTTTTCTATCCTCCAAACGCAAAAGATGCGTCGGCGGTGAGGGCTATATTTTGTAGACCTAAAAAATTTTTGCCCTGGGGAGTTGTGTGGTTGGTCCGAGTGGTGACAAGTCAGAGGCACGATGGTGCCCCACAAACTTGACTAACGGAGCTATCGCCCCCCTGGGGGTGGTGGAGGGGGGAATTAATGGGAAGAACTGTTCCCAGTCCGTATCCCAAAATTTGACTGACAAACCTACCACGGCTGCCACTTTAATCATAGTTATTTGTAGTCACCATGTTATTACATACCAAAATAATAAAAAATAATAATAATAATAATACTTGAGTCATCCGTTGCAGAAAAGTAGCAGGAACTGAAAGGAAAATTTACAATAATTAAACAAAAGAACAACAACAAAAAACTTTGGGGTTTGAACACACAGCCCTCCGATTCTAAGGCGAACGTGATACCAACTACACTATGCTACCGCTTGACGCATTGCACTGTGTGAATGATGATAATGAATGATGTGCGCAGACTATCAATAATGTGTCTAATTTTGTAATCTATCGCCGCCTGCACATGAGCACTGTTGTCTGAGAAATGTTTGAGATTCTCAACAATAGTGAAAAATATTTCCCTCGACATTATTTCACGGGAGTTTTTAGTAAACAGTCTTTGCTCAAGTACTCTATTTTGAGTTTCTTTGTTCTAAGCATTAGCAGACAGACAGCAAAAAAAAAATTTAAAAAATGTGCCTGAATCTGTGACTGTCCATCGGGAAAGACAAGAATTTATAGTGACTGAACTGTTTGAATTTACAGTAGCAGAAATACAGCCAGAGCTGGAGTCATCAAAATCATGCACTACTGGTTTCAAATCATCGGTTGACCAAGACAACTGATCAATTTATGGCATTTTTGATGGCGCTTCATTGTCGCTGCTCTCTGATTCCGATGATGAGGACGTCGGACAGGCAAACAGCTTTTTCTTGGACGCGCCGGTTTGAGCTGTCGATATTGATAGCCTAGTCAAATCTTTTTGTTCACTGTCAGAAGTACACATTTCAAAGTCATCTTCGCTATCACTTCTTGACAGAAACTCCATCTTCATCAACTTTAACAAGTTTTCTTGCCATTTTGTACCAAGTGTAGAATAATCCACAAGCACAAATATATTTCAGGGCACAAAATACACAGATCACCGCTGTCATGGTAAACAAAGCAACGGGATAACGCAAAATGCAGTAAACACACCTTAAACACACCTAAAAGCACGTGCCAGTGCTTTTAATCATATGTAAATGGGTCAGTTTAATCTTAAATATAGCTAATGTATATTGCCCCTCAGCCAATAAAATACGAGATAACAGAAATCTGTAAGAAAAGTCAAAAAACGGCTTGGGACATCCATAGCACTGGGGGTAAAGAAAAAAAATAACGTCCAAAGACGGGCGTAGCAGCGTACGGGAAATCGGGAAAAGACGTCCATAGCAGCGAAAGGGTTAAAGCCCCCGACTACAGCTGTGTATGCAGTCTTTTTAAAAAAAAAAAGAAATTGTGTCTTACTAAAACGGGGTTCTGGACAATGAGAGACAAAAGTGAAATATTTTGGCTGCATTTAAAAAGACTTTTAAAAAGCCACACAGGGTACAGTTTAAAATAGTACAGCTATAGCAATAAGTAGACATCAGTATAAGTAGAAGGATAACATCAACAGATGGATGCACAACAGTCTCAGAGAGTCTAGAAATGGATAAGTCCAAGGGTTGGAGAATCACTGCAGCCAAACTTTCTTGTGCAGACAGTGCCTTGAAAGACTGACAATAAAATTATTCAATATTCATAGATGAGCAACCTACCTGGCTGCATCCCAATAATGAGTACATTGATACATACTGAAACTGTCACCTAGACACAGATAAAACTATACATATAAACACACATACATACAAATAAGGACATGGATGCACACAGCCGCCTGCATGTGCACGCACACACACACACATACAAAGGATCACTAGAGACACTGTGCTAATTTACCTGTTCATATTTCATGACAGCCAGATTTCTCAAAGTTTCTGCGACTCTTGGGTGGTGGGGGCCCAAAGTTTCCTCATATATCTTCAGAGCTTGCTCAAACAGTGGGCCAGCATCTTGGTATCGGTTCTAGGAGTACAGATGGCCAATGATTAATGTCTATGTAATTACTGCAGGGAAACAGTTCAGGGATTGCTTTTTGAAGGGGAAGATTTAGTCAAGGATTACCGTTTGTAATGATTAAAAGGGAAGAGATGTGTATGACAGTGGCGGAAGGAAGAAAAGGGGGAGAAGAATGCACATGGCTAACTATCTGGGTAAGAAGAATTCTAGGCAAAGAAATGTCCAGGGATTACTGACTGGGTAACAGTTCTAGGCAAATGGATGTCCAGGGATTACTGTCTGGTTACCATTTCTAGGCAAATGCATGTCCAGAGATTACTGTCTAGGTAGGAATTCTATGAAAAGGAGCCAGGGATTACTGTCTGGCTAAGAATTCTAGGAAAAGGGATGGAAAAGGATGACTGTCTGGGCAACAATTCTATGAAAAGGGATAGTCATGGATTAATGTGTGTGTAACAATTCTAGGAAAGGGGATGGCCAGGTATTACTGTCTGGGTAACAATTCTGGAGGGAAGGATGTCCATGGATTAATTTCTGAGTAACAATTCTAGGGGAAAGTAATGTGCATGGATCACTGTCTGGGTAACATTTCAAGGGAAAACAATGTCTAGGGATTACTGTCTGGGTATGAATTCTATGGCAAAGGATGCCCAGGCATTACTGCCTATGCAATAATTCTAGGGAAAAGGATGTCCAGGCATTACTGTGTAACATTTTCTAGGGGAAAGGATGTCCATGAATTACTTTCTGTGTAACAATTCTATGGAAAAGGATGTCCAGGCATTTTTGTCTGTTTAATAATTCTAGGGGAAGAGATCATGAGGATTAAAGTATGTTTTTCAAAGCAATATGATATTTACTGCTTCATCAGCCTCATTCATCACTCTTATTCAACAGTCTGTCTCATCACACTTATTCAACAGTCTCATTCATCGGTCTCATTCTTTGGTCTCATTCATCAGTCTCATTCATCGGTCTCAGTCATCAGTCTCATTCATCGATCTCATTCGTCGGTCTCATTCATCAGTCTCATTCAACAGTCTCATTCCTCAGTCTCATTCAACAGTCTCATTCATCAGTCTCATTCATCGGTCTCATTCATCGGTCTCATTCATTGGTCTCATTTATCAGCCTCATTCATCAGCCTCATTCATCGGTCTCATTCATCGGTCTCATTCATCAGTCTCATTCCAGTCTTTAGTATATGAAACAAAAGATCCTTAAGCCTCTTGTACCCTGAATAGTCTGAAGATTGATGTTTGTTGACAGAAATGACTGTTACCTGTTGTGAAATTAGTACGGCGAGATTGACTAATGCCGTAGCAACAGACGGATGATTGGGTCCGAAAGCTTTCTCTCGTATCTCCACTGCCTGCCTGTACAGGGGCTCAGCTTTCTCATATTTACCCTGGAAATACAGAGACAGTGGAGAAAGTTATGCCATCATACATTTAATCTGTAAAAACTGATCTAAGATTCCAGGTTGACCCAGCCTAAAATTATAACCAGGAAATACCCTGGCAAGAAACGACTGGCATGAGACTAACCACAACATGCATATAGTCCTAATTCATCATCATCATAAACCACTTCTGCTGTTTAGCGCTGTGGGGAGGAATAATTTGCGATCCAGCGCTGGCTGGCCCTGGCTTTTGTCTTATTGTTAATGCGTAAAGTGACTTTAATGTTATCAGTCCATATTTTTCGTGGCCGTTCTCTTGCTCTTGTAGCGGATCTTTAGAGATGTAGTGCCTGTGATAGTATTTTGATGTTGCTGCATTTTAACGAGGTGGCCAAACCACTAGATCTGCCATTTCTTATAGTACAAGGGGTCCCCACAATCTTTCTGACTATTCACTTGTTCTTGGATGGTAAGGTCGGTGGCTTTTCTCAGGCATCTCATCTTGCAAGTGATAATTGTGCACATTCTGGGCATAAGATAATGTTTATGTTTGGCGCTGGTAGCTCATTATTAGTATGAATATGGTAGTCCTGACTGGCCTATGGAAATATAAGGTTAGCATCACTTGCCCAGTTCACTACAAATTGTGAAAATGGGACTTATTTCTCTTTTTCTTCATTATCTTCTGCTTTCAAAATGAAAAAGTGGCTGGCTTATTTTATTGTGGTTTACAGCTGGGTGGCAAAATGTGTCCTCTTCAGTCCAACACATCCAATTTCAGCCAACTCTTCAATGTCACTTTCTAAGACATGCTTATCAAGAAGCAGTTGGTCTATCCTTTCTCCCCGCAAAAAAAGATTTTTTTTTTTTAAATGACTGATATGATTATGAATTTGCAAGTGTTTGTGTGTAATCACGCATCACATGTGTTGTTTTTTCCCCCGTGTGGCTTCCAGTGCCCTATTGTGGGAAAAACAAGAATAGACCCACTGCCTACCCAAAAGCATGTCATAAGAGCCGACTAATTGGGAGCTTCCTTCGAAGTCGGAGTGGATCTGCCTGAGAGGCAAGGAACCAGCACTCTGCATACAAATGAGTCAGATCTGTAAAGCGGATGCACACACAACACTCAGGTTCTGGAACAGGACTGTAGTCTGAAAGTGGATAAACAACCAGAACTTTCCACCAGAGTTTACAGCTGGTGAACACACACACACACATGTGGTTTTCTTACAAAAATAAATACATATGTAACCAAATTTGTGTAAGCAATGAGATATTTGCAAACATTAGAATATATGTAATTGTGTAATTACTATTTTATTCTGTACTGTCATTACTGTAGATCAAGAAAAAAGAAAATAATGAAATTCTATGAGATCTTCGGCTTCTACTTGTTAGCGTCTACCGGTTGTAAGCTCCGGGAGAAAGTCCTGCTTGTTCGTCTACTTCTTTACTTTAGTCTTTAGTCTTGTCTCTGGACTTGAGTTTTGTGTGCAAATCCATTTTATAGATCTGACTTATTTGTGTGCAGACTGTTGGGAGATGCAATCCAACTTTGAAGGAGATGTCAATCTTATGTATGCTGGCCAGGCTCCAAGCTCGGAACCTGTTTTTAGGATGTGCACACAGAGGTGTGCTGGCGGGATGCTGACCACATCACCCATCCAGATTGGTCTATAAAAATATAGGTCTATGCCTATATGCCCTATGCGCCTAAAGGAGTGGAAAAGGGACCTTTGCTTTTTTTAAAAACTTATACAGAGGTATAGATATACCATGCAGAGGTATAGATATACCATACAGAGGTGTAGGTACACCATACAGAGGTGTAGATATACCATATAAGATAACCCCTATTATTTCTTCAACTTATAATTAAGACATAACTATTTTAATCACATTCTGTGTATAAGATGACTCCAATTTAAGACTTTAAAACATTTTTGAAAATACAGTCTTACACATGATAGATCTTAAACAGTTTGCATGCTGGTTCTCATGCACTACCACGTACGGTTCAGCACCTCTGTATCCCAAAATCCGAACAACACAGAAACATGGCTCATAAACAGTACTGCATCTTGAAAACAGGAATACCCTGACCATACTAAATCCCCAGAGAAGTGGCAATGGTCACAGGCACTGGAACCTCGGCTTCAGGCCTGAATTATTTTAAATTTTAGCCTACCATCATCATGGTCAAGTGCAATCTGGCATGGGAGATCAAGCTTTACATCTAGTAACCTTCAAGTTGTGTTCATGGGATCTCCTTCATGGAGATTGAGGGAAAGGAGGTCAAACCATTTGCACTGAGCTCTTAAGGTCATGGGCTCCTTTTTTAACTGTGCCATTTGGTTCATGGCCACAGCATCTTCAGAGATCATGGCAGAGAGGTCACTGGAGTTTCAGAGTTCATGCACTATGCAAATGACTTGAGAGGTAGGCCGCTGCTCTTCTGGAAAACAAGGAGCCAGAGTAGATAATACTGAGCACAAAGGAAGCCCATTCTTTCCATGGTAATCACTATTTTATTTTCTACCCTGATTGAGACAAGAGAATGTAAGTGGACTGACCTGTTGCTTATACAGCCTGGCCAAGTGGTTGATGATGTTGGCCACCCCAGGGCTGTCTGCACTGTAATGCTGGCAGAAATTTAAAAAAAAACCAAGATTAACTCTTTCTGTCTCAGATGGCTCTTGCTAATGTCTGAGACAGACACAACTGACATCACCAAACTCATGTGTATACTATCTGTGCAGGAATCAAATGCACAATCTTTGCAGTAGACAAATATGTTGTCTGGGTTTGGTTTTTTTAAATCCTTGACTAAACACAAGATATAAAAACAGATATAACATACTAATTGATACATATAAATATTATCCAATCACAGTATGTTGCTTAGGATAAAAAGAGTTATTCATGATCTTAAATAATCATATGCATCTGGCTGTGCTCATTATTCACAATATCATTCTATACTGACATATCATCATCATGATGTGCCCTACAAGATAACATAAGCACACACGTCTCTCAACAGATCTCTGTCCTTGGTGTTTTGTGGGTTTACTAGGAAATTTTACGCTCAACAGTTTGCAAATAACGGCACAGTTCCCATACTGTTGTCAAACCAAGGCGGAGAAATCTGCCTGCAGCCAAATCAAACCTTGTATGTCAGAATGAGGAAACTGCGTACATGACACAAAAACCAGATACTGGCTGATCTCTATTTGAGGGATTTATCTCTTGTTTTAAAAAAAAAAAAAAAAGTCCAGATAAATCTCAGATTCCCCCAGTCTGGTCTAAGACGGCAATGACAAAATGTTGATCTATTATGAGAGAGCAGTAATTAAATGTTGATCTGTTCTGAAAGAGCAACGTTGAAATGATGACCTATTTTGACAGAGCAATGAAGGAATGATGATATATTCTCAGACAGCAATGATAAAATGATCTGATCTGGAGAGCAATGTCATTCTTTACTGACATATCATCGTCAGGATGTGCCCTACAAGATAAGCACACACGTCTCTCCACAGATCTCTGTCCTTGGTGTTTTATAGATTTACTAGGTAATTATATGTTCAACAGTTTGCAAATAACGGCACAGCTCCCATACTGTTGTCAAACCCAAGGCAGAGAAATCCCCCAGTCTGGTCTAAGACAGCAATGACAAAATGTTGATCTGTTATGAGAGAGCAGTAATTAAATGTTGATCTGTTCTGAAAGAGCAACGATGAAAAGATTACCTGTTTTGACAGAGCAATGAAGGAATGATGATATATTCTCAGACAGCAATGATAAAATGATCTGATCTGGAGAGCAACGAGAAAATGATCTGATCTGAGACAGCAATGATATAATGTTGACCAATAGCAAGAAAGTAATGATAAAATGACGTTGTTCTTAGACAGCAATGACAAAACGGTCTGTTTTGAGAAAGCAATAATGGAATGATGCTGTGTTTTGAAACAGCAATAATGAATGTTTAACTGTTCTTAAGAGCAATGATCAAATGATGATTCGTTATGAGATCTCACCTCCAACCTGATGTTTAAGGCACGGTCATAAAGAGGTTCAGCCTTGGCGTACATCTTCTTGTCATTATATAAGGCAGCCAGGTTGTTGAGTGATGAGGCCACGTCCTGGTGGTTTGTTCCGAGAAGGGACTCACGCATCTCCAGTGAACGCCTGAAAAAAGATTCTGCAGCCCTGCAGACAGAGACAGGCTTTTAATTAAATCTTCAGGAATTGAATCTTGTGCAAAGAAACAGTACCAACAAACCAGTATAAATATATGTCCGACTTCGTATATGAACCCATAACAGTCCAGTCATAACATAATAAAGTGCTCAGACTCATGCTTGAGTTAGAAGTAGAAAGGAGCATTCATGTGTTACACCCTTGTGCCATGATGTTGATCCATTAAATAAACATAAACATAGCTTGGTCAGCAGGGAGATACCACTTCTGTTCCAGACACTGTTATAAAGACTGCCAAAACTGCTACTGCCCTTTGAGATTCTACCACTGATCTCGCCGTTGATGTTGACTTTCTGAGATAAGGTACTGCCAAGATAAGTGAATCTGTCGACTACATTTAGCTTTTGATCTTTACTGTGGTAGTGAGATCACAGTAATTTTGTCTTGGAGTCGGTTGATAGATAACAACAGTTTTATCAGTGTTGATAGTTAGCCTGAAGTTGCTACAGGCTTCAGAAAATCTACTGATGATGAGCTGCAAACTGGCCTCAGAGCTGGCGTTTAGAGCGCTGTCATCAGCAAATAAAAGGTACAAATTGGATGAAAGTGATTTGCTCAAGGACTTGGATTTAAGTGAGGAAGAGTTGCACAATTCGTTGACCTCACTCTCTCACCTGTGTAGTGGAATTACTTACACAAATAAAATGATAGTTTGTTTTAGACTACATTTTTAAACTTTTGGAAAATCTCAATTTTTCAGAAATCTCGACTTTAGAAAAATCTTAATTAAGAGCATTTTTAGGGATCTATATTTGTGTAACCAGTTTGCTCCAAAGTGCCCATTTTACATCTAGATATCTATTTTGCATCTAGATTGTCTGTTAATGTGTAAAATAATTACTTGGTATTACATGTGCAGTTGCAGGACACCAAAAGTTGGGAACATTTCACAGAAGAAAAAAAACGTATTGTCTGGGACCAAATATTCAGTGGCAAGACACCAAAATATGTTGGGGAAATGTCATGGGAAAATCTTACTTGTTCTTGCCAATCTTCCTTTTTCTTTTCTGGCACTAATTTGCTCCAAAATGCCCAGTTAGTCATCTAGATTATCTACTCATATGTAAAATGATAGTTTGAGACAAAATATTTAACCTTAGGAAAATTTCCGTTTTTTGGCAAAACGAGACAGGAGTGCGCCTGGGCATCTTTTTTTAAATCTCCATTTTTTTTCTCCAGTTTGCTTCAAAATTTCAAAAACTATTCATTAATACATGGAATGTAAGATCAATTTAACAAAATGGAATTCTAAACTTTGTACATCTCCACATTATATTTTTACAAATCTCACTCTGTATTATTCTGGAGATAGTATAGAACTCCCAGTTCGTTCAGAGTCCGTGCCAAGTCTGGGGAATCTGGACCCATTACCAACTCCTCAAGCTGGAGAGCTCTCCGTTGAAGAGAATCAATAACCGCAACATCCTGTCATAAAAATCCAGCAGACATTTAGTATTTGGATTGGTTTTGTTTTTTAAATTAATGTATAAAACTATAGTCACAGTCATAAAATATGTGCTGAGCTAAGAACTCATATCACAGCACTTTTGACATCCATATAAGCGCTCATTCTCCTCTTCAGCAGCCAGTGAACAGGTTCAGTTCTGAAGGTGCCAACTACTGTTGCAGACAACAGTGTTCTATTGTGCTATGAGAAGGCATGAGATTCACAGACCAGGGCAATGCGAGTGTGACTAGCAAGGTCTGCCCATGTTAAGAAAAGTTTTCCACAGTTATAGGATGGGACTTCAGGACCATTCTTGCCATCATTTATATTTAGTGTGATTCTTTTCAGATGCTCAGTTCTCATCCTTTCTACAGTCATTTCTTCCTTAATTCTCATTCCCTTCATGATGTGCCTCCTCCACACAACATGATCCACAGCATTTTGTTCTGAGTCCACCTCAATACCTGTATCATTCAGGTCCTGCTTGTACATCTTTAAATCGCAGTAGAGGTCAGCCTTGACTTCTTCTACTCATTTGTAATTCACCATAGAGGATGTCTTTGGGACTCTGCCATCCTCCAATCTCCAGGTGTGATCCAGCCGCCTGAGCCTTCGTAAAGTGAAGAGAGAACATTGCCAACACCAGTTTGATTATATATCTGTCTTCCTTTTCCTCTTAGTGAAGAATATGAACCAGATCCCCTGGTCACTCCTAGCTGTACCATAATGATTTATTTGTGTTGGCCTCCCATCATTTTTACATTTTACCTCTGCATCCATCACAGTTTCTGAAAGGGCATTCCCTCGTCAATTTTCTCGAGTACTGTTCCACGCTCTGTTCTGCACACTGAAACTCCCACAAATGAGCAGCCTATCTCTAAAAAAAAAACTGTTGCACAAAGTACATAGACATATATAAAGCAGATAACCAATATCAGAATACAAGGGAACTACAGGCCTAGGAAACAATCACACTAACAATCTCTGTGTGGGTCATGGGGCACTGTTTTTTTTTGGGAGGGGGAGGGCATACCCATTGCCACCCTTAAAAAAAAAGATGCTGGACAAGGCAACTAATTAGGGATGTGTCCTTTGAACTCAGAGTGCATCTGTCTGAGAGTCAAGAATCCAACAATCTGCATACAAACTAGCTAGATCTGTAAAATGGATGTGCATGCAAAACTCATGTTCTAGAATAAGACTATAGGCTATAAATGGACCAAAAAAACAGACAAACAGACAAACAAACATAACTTTATGCCTGAGTTTAGGTCAGTGAATGCTGAGAATACTAAGAAGAAAACTAGCGTCCTGACTATCCCAGCATGTCCTACCTGTCCTCTAGGGTTTCTCAACTTTTTCTTGATAGCAAATGCTTTCTTCCTCAATGGATGAGCCAGATCGTGTCTGCCAAAGACAAAAGTCACACAAAATTTAGCAGATAATTGACCTTTTTTGTCTTCTCTTTTCTTTGAGACAAACCACATAAAATATTGGGCTTTCCCAAAAAAAGCAGTTGATTACATACACCCCCTTTGTGGAGAGGGCACATGTTTACAACAAATTAATAATCAGTGTTATCATAAACGGTGGCCAACAAGTCGATCTGACATATAAGTCGACCACAAGATTTTTAAGCTCAATATACCGTGTAGGCCTACACCTACCATAAAGGCCCCCAAGCATATGGTTGACGATCAGTGGCCTTAAACTTAACTTACCAATATATCTCACTAAACGCTTTGGTTAACATCGACAAATGAATAATATTAAAAAGAGTAATATAAAAAGTGTAAATAGTACCATTAATTCATTATTCTGACATGCTGGGGGTTCTCTGGGATCAAATGAACAGTGCAGTGCAACAGAACAGACATAGAGAATCCATACACTGAAAAACGAATTCTACGGGAGTGAGTAGGTTCTGGAAGATATTCAACATACCTTTGTGTAGTTCACTTCATGTTTGACAAAGGCTGCCTGCCGAAATGTTATTTGTGTTGTTCTGTGCATGTTTTTCTGCTTCCCCATCTGGTTAAGCTTTTTAGTCACAGTTCACTGGAATAACACCAGTCACCTTTACTTCTCAGGAAGTACCTGCTACCCATTTTAGGCTGGGCCAACCTAGGAGCCAGGGTCGAAAGAAAGGTTGAAAGAAAAAATATACCTCGATGCCGATTTGAACCAACTACCTTTCAGCTGGCAGGGGAGCATGGAAAAATATAAGACGGGTACAATGTTATATACATCAGTGTGGTTTGTCCTCAACACTTTGAAAATTAAGTCCGTTAGTTAGTTCTGTTGAGCTTCCAACATAATTTCTGACATTTCTTTTTTCCTTCTCCCCCTTCTTTGTTCTTCCCTTTCATCTCTTTCTTACTTGTTGGTTTTTTCTTTCCATTATTTTCCCTTGCTACCACCACCACTACATACCCCTTCCCGTCAAAATGGATTCTCAGCTTCTGAGAAGAATGCATGGCGTGACCCTGTGAGCTGCGGATTGCATTTGGAATGTTTTTTCGACTGTGACCAACGTGTTGGTTTGAATTGTAGATTCAGAAAATGGCGCGATGCGTGTCGTGCAGTGTTGTGGTGTCCGTATGTGATTAAAATTGATCGCGTGGGCAACTGCTGATCTGTTGGCGACTTCAGCTACCATCAATGATGAACTGCAGTTCTAATACTGTGATAAACATTCGGTGTGTTTTTCGTTGGCACAGGAGCGGAGCAAAGATGGGGTGACCCGTTTGCTATGAAGCTGAAACTAAGACTACCAAACGACCAGACTACCCCTTTTTTCTTCATCATTAATTTATTGAACTTTCTTCTGCTTTTCTTTCATTCTTTGGTCATTTTTAAACTGACCTGTCATTTGTTTCTTCTTCTTTATTGCCTACTGTCATCCTAACAAACTAATGTTTTAACTATTCACCCTCCTATCCCCCGTGTACAGAAAACAAACTATAAACAAATCTGGCAACATACTTATCTTGCTTCTGATACAGAAGAGCCAATGCATCCAGTTCAGTGGCCACCATTAGGTGATCTGGACCCAGTGTGTTCTGGCAGATCCCCAAGGCATGCATGTAGAGGCTCTCTGCTGTATCATACTTTCTCCACTGATCATGCAATCCAGCTAAAAAGTGAAGCGACCTTGCCACCAATGGGTCATCAGGGTCGAGGTCAGTTTCCCTGATTTCTAAAGCTCTCTGGAGTGCTCGCAAAGCCTACAATATAATAAATCTAATACAAAATCTTGGGTACCCTGATAACATTAGATGGAAGATGTATTAGGGAAGTTAAATGTCAAATAGCTCAAGCAAAGGCAGGATTTTACAAAATGTATAATATTTTATCAATCTTTCTTTGTCAACTGAGTCAAAAAAGAGAATTCGTTAAAGCTATTTAAATCATATATTGATATATGGAAGTGAATCATTAAAACTTAGTAAACTAGTGACAACTTATTTGGAAGCTGCAGAGAAATGGCTTTAAAGATGAACGATGAGAATACCCTGAACAGATAAAAAGAGTAATGAAAAGGTCTTGAAAACAAATTGACTCACAAAGAGAACTGATTGCCCACATCAGAAAAAGACCATCTACATTCTCTGGTCATGTAATGAGAAGGAGAAAACTGGAGTACATTGTGACAGTAGGAAAACTGGAGGGGAGGAGAGGCAGAGGGAGACCAAGAGAACAGATGCTGGACAGTTTGACATCTTTTTTATCTGTGTCATAGTTGTTTGAAAGTACACGAGACAGAAGGTTGTGGACAGACATGACTGCCTACGCCACACGGCATGGACTTGAAGAAGAAGAAGAATAAATCACCACTAATTACTAATTACGCCCGTGTGTCACCGGGGCCCTCACGGGAAGCAAAGAATAGTGACACTGCACCCTACCAGGCATGTCATAAGAGGCGACTAAGGGTAGGGTTGGGCTTGAGGTTGGCTACCTCATCCTGTAAAAACCATAGCCACAAAAACCAACCAACCATGGATAAGTCAAAAAGAGAAGCAAATAAAATCCAGCCAACCAAGATGAGGGGAGGCTCTTCAAATAGAAGAAGTATGACACGGTGTGGAGAAAGCCGTAAGGAGTCCGGATCGTTAAAGATTGGGAGGACATGGGGAGAGCTCCATGCAAAGGCGAAGGATAGAACGACTTGGCGTGAGTTGGTTGAGGGCCTATGCTCCATTGGGGGATAGAAAGGCAGAAGAAGAAGAAATACTAATGAGGAATAATAGATTGCAATGGTTGGGGCATGTAGAGAAAATGGCAGACAACAAAAGGGATTTTTAAAAAACTGCATACAAAATAGAGGTGAATGAGAGTTGACCTTGAGGCAGACCAAGAAAATCGTGGAGAGATAATGTCCAAACAGACTCAAAAACCCTTGGAGGCACTAGTTTGAAAGAAAAAGCCAGTCATAAACATAACTGGATTAGGGTGATCTGCAACCATAAAACTCGAGGGCTTGAAATGCCCAAGAAGAAGACAGGGGAGAGATAATATTTAGGCAGACCTAAAAACACTTGGATGCACCAACCAGAAAGAGAAGGCCAATCACAGACATAAATTGAGGCGAGTGAAATCTGCAGCCACAAAAGTCAAGGGCTCGGAATTCTGAAGAAGAAGATATAAATATAATGTAAAACTAACTATAGAATAATACTAACTGTATTTATCAAGACACTTTGAGACGATATCAAATGTGTTAATTCCTTGAATGGGAAGTTACTTTTCAAACTGAGTAGCAAAAACATTTTTAGATTTTCAGGTTTACTGTATATTTTTTTTTAAAAAGGGGAAAAAAGTATACGCCAGCTTCAAGATCACTTTCTTTTTATTCTTCTTCAACATTCTGAGCCTTTGAGGTTCGCTCTAAGGCTATTCAACTCCCTTGTGTACCTTTTGCCTCTCTGTTATATGCTTTTATCTTTAGATGTCCCAGCCATTTCAGTCAGTTAGCTCTCATGATACAGGTTATCAATGATGATTTACAGATTATAAATTTCCTTGTTGCTTCTCACTCTCCATTCTTCATTCAAGATCACATTCATTCATTCATTCAGTAGCATGTCCCTCGCGGAACCTCGCCGCCATAACAACCCTCCGGAAAACCTTCCTATCCTGAGCAAGATGACCTGCGTCTGATACACCCATCTGGAGATCATCTGCCACATCCTGCACCCATCTTCTCCTTGGCCTTCCTCTTCCTCTCTTCCCAGGCATATACCCCTCCATTATCATTCTCTCCAGACCTCCATGACGCTTCAAGTGGCCAAAATATTTCAATTTTCTTTGTTTTATTGTCTTTACTAGCCAACCCTCTTCAATATTCAGCTCTTGAAGTATGGATGCATTTGTTCTTTTCTTTACCCAAGATATTCTTAGAACCTGTCTGTAACATTTATATTCAAATGCATTTATGCGCTGTTCCGCTTGTTTAGTAAGTGTCCAGGTCTCACAGGCGTATGTTGCAATGGGAAAGATGCATGCTCTTAAAAATCTGACCTTTGTAATTCTATCTGTACAATTCCATAATTTATTCAGTTGTTTTAGTCTTTGAAGAGCAATTGATAGTCGCCGTTTAATTTCTTTCATTGTGTCACCATTGTTGGTAACCAGTGACCCAAGATATTCTCAATTTTCCACCACTTCCAATCTTTCCTCATTAACATATATTTCCTTCTCCATGGCAGTTCTCATTAACATATATTTCCTTCTCCATATATTTCCTTCTCCTTCTCAATGCATTATCTTTGTTTTTGCTATGTTAAGAAATAAGTTATGATTCATGATTGTTATGGATTCTTGGCAAAATTTGCAGAAGGTAGTTTGCCGTTGTTTTCCTCCTGAGCAGTGACTATACTAGTCGGTGGCCATAGCCATTGTCTCTACTGATGAGATCATCTGCCTATCGCCGCAGAGTGCAGACCATAACCAACAATACCTGTCGGCTGCTCTTACACTCCATCCACCACCTGCTTCCATGGCTTCACGTAACCCTGATTGGGGGGCTAAACGGGTACTCCACCTTGCCCAAGGGTGACCCGTAGACTAGCGGAGGAAAGGAGGCGTCTTACTTCTCCTTTGATAGGGGATACCCCTACCCCGCTAACCGTAAGATCACATTACAATAAATAAATAAATAAAGGATGTTACAGTCACACACCTTTATCAGCAAACAACACTGAAACAAAACAATACACAAAAAAGGAAAGGGCACAGAGAAAATGTATGAAGCTATTGAAATATGTAAATGAATGGAACAAAAGAATATATTTGGGTTGCCTGACTTGTTTTTCTGATTATCATTGTATCTTTCGTATTTTCCACATCAATCACTTTTATGTGGCCACCAGATGTTTGAAGCTGGCATGCTTACTGTCCATCCATGTTTCACACACATACACAAGTACAGTTCCATATAGCACTTATGCATGTCTTTGGAAGATGTTGAATCATAACAGGCTAGGTACCATCTCATGGATTAACAAGAAAGAGGACAGATCATGGCAGACATGTCTTTACCTGTGAGAGCAGACCCAAGTCACGAAGGAATTGTCCCAAACATTCATATGTCTCTGCGACCTTGAGTAGACTAATACCACCATGGTCAGCAGCTGTGTAATGAAACAAGATCATATCTTGTTGGATGATTTAAAAAAAAAAAAATATGAGATCTCAATGACTGGTTTAAAAAATAAATGAAATCTTATTGGTTCATGAAACATGAGTTGAGATCTTATTGGTTGGTAAAAACAAGAATAGATCTTATTGGTCAGTAAAAAAAACTGGGTGAGATCTTGGATTAACAATCATAAACCAATGCTTTGATTAGGTGAACAATAACAGTATCATGGAATCATTACTGTTGAGTTTGGGGAAAAAACTAAACAAATTTCTGCATACACAAAAAAAGGTAAATGAAAATACATTGGCAACTGATGTACAGAGTGAGAAAACCTGTTGATAACTATAAAGTATTTTGCTGGAACCTGCAAGGCAAAAGAAACAGATGGAAACTAATAGCACATGAGGAAAAGAATTAGAGATAGAAAAAGACATGAGGAGCTGCAAGAAATAGGACTGGGGAAAAAAAAAAATATATATATATATATATATATATATATGCCATATATGACAGGAAAAGAGGAGAAGGATGTACAACAAGAGGCAGACCAAGAACAATAGAACGACAACATCAGAGAAACCTTACAACAGCATGAGGTATCTGTGGTCTATATATAAATATACACACACACACACACACACTCACCCACACATGCATGCACGCACACACACACTCACGCAAACACACACACAGCTTAGCTGTAAACACCAATATAACGTGCCAACACCCTTTTAAAGGTGAATGTTCCCTCGAGTCAGAGTGCATCTGCCTGAGAGATGAGGAACCAACAGTCTGCTAATAAATAAGCCTGACCTGTAAAATGAATGTGCCCTCATAACTCAGTTCTGAAACAAGACCTAAGACCATTAATGGACAAACAATCAGAACTGTCTCAACAGACAACAACCAGTGACACATTCAATGCAGTGAAAACAACAAGACCACATTCAAGTTAAAATAGTTACCAGTCTCCAGATTGCTGATTTCGGTAAAGTAAGCCTCAGCCATCTTCTCCTTGTCCCGCTCTATAGCCTGCCAGTAATTGAGAAGCTCAAAACAACGCCCCCTGGCAGGAAAGATGCAGAAATGTCATCGGTCAAGGCAAGTAGTGACTACATCCAAACATTAACCCATGCACTTGATGCGTCTGCTTATTTTCTTCAAATTGTGCCGGGATAAACAACTCGCCACATCATTTTATTCCTTATGTTGTGTGCCATGATTAAACACATTGTTCTATCGTGTGTTCATTTTTAAACAAATTAAAATATCTAAAGTCAACATTAAACTAAAAATCACGAATAAGATTAAAAGCAATATTAATGAAAATGAACCTGATGTGCAGTTATCAATGTATGAATATTTGATTCTATTTTGTCAGCAGTATCCTCAAATCCCCATTGATCGCTTTTTGTGGTCAAAGGTGCCTGACATCTTCACCCAATCATTTCCTCTGCCCCCCCCCCCTCCCTCCCCCTTCCTCTCCTCACCCTACTACCACTAAACTACTATCTCCTTGTGGATCATTCAGTTTTTCCAAGCGGATGGTATCCTGCCACTTTTGGAAACTGATCTATGAGTTTGTCTGGTGAACTTTGATGTAAATTCCTAATTTAAATCAAGTTAAACTTCAAATAGAAATATAATAATCATCATTTTGTGCTGTTATGTCATATGGGGCTTGCAGTCTTCTTCCATTCTGTTCTATCCAATTGAACTGTTTCAAAGTCATGGATGAAATCCAGTCCAGCATGCTTGAACTATCTCATCAATGTTCATCTTTGTTTCTTTCAGATTTCCTTATCTCCTCAATCCGACAGTTTGTCATGTTTGGCAAAAACCCTAAAGTGGGCAATGTTAAACATACTGATTTGACCTAAACTAACTTTTTCAAATTTACAAGACGTTCAACAGTGTTCAAAATTAACTTACTTTGCATACATCTCCTGGAAGACTCCCAGATTTAGGATACATTTCTCCAACTGTTGCCTGTTGTCTGTTTGGCTGATCAACCAAGGGAGCTCATCCACAGTTCTGCTATTAACTGCACCTGGTCTGTAAGGTGTGTGTGTAGGAAGAGAATTATACATTTTAAAAAAATTAATTAATTTAAAAAAAAACCAATCAACATATTTATGTTTTATTTACATCCTTTACAAAGTCTGAATCTGTATCACAATGTGTTTTTTTTAACCAACCATACACTTTGTCTCTTATAACCAATCAGATTTTGAAAATAGCTTACCCAATCAGATGCTGGAAGTACTGAATAAGTTTTTGTCTGACACTGAGGACACTGTCTTTGTCATCTTTGAAGAAATATTCAAACACAGCCTCTTGAGCCTGTGGCAGAAATACATAAATAATCATACACAAACAATAAACATATCTCCAGTACTTGTACTATGGCTATATGTTACTGTAAAGAAGGATATATGTTATGGGACATAGACAATGGTAGAAGACATGGAGAATGGTAGAAGACATGGACAAATCTCCAGTACCTGCACTATGGTTATACATTACTGTAGAGAAGGATATATGTTATAGGACATAGACAATGGTAGAAGACATGGACAAATCTCCAGTACCTGTACTATGGCTATACGTTACTGTAAAGAATGATATATGTTGTAGGACATAGACAATGGTAGAAGACATGGAGAATGGTAGAAGACATGGACAAACTCAGATTAATGAGAAATTACTTGGTGCTTGGATATCGTTCTACTTAAGAATGAGATGTTGCTCTATAGTATGGTGAGATGTGGTTCCACAGAATGGTGAGATGGTTTTACAGACGAATGTGCTGATGTGTCTCTATAAAAGAATGATGAGATGTCATTTTACAGAAGAATGGGATTGTGTGGTTCAAAAAACAAAAGGAATGGTGACATGTGGTTCTAAAGAATAATGATGAGATGAGGTTCTATGGAAAACATGATGAGATCTGGTTCTGTAGAAGAATGGTGGCAACATTAAATTTTATGCAAGAATGGTGAGATGTAGTCTGACAGAAGAATGATGACACATGGTTCTATACAAGAATGGTGAGATGTTTCAAAGAAAAAAAAAGCACAAATAAATTCAAAGGCGATGATTAAACATAAGTTAAAAAGTTAGTAGCATATGATATACAGGATTCTGCATTTACCGGCTATAAACATGGCGGAAAGTTCTGGTTGTTCGTCCACCTATGGACTTTGGTCTTGTTCCACAACCTGAATGTTGCATGCACATTTGTTTTTAGATCTAACTTATGTGTATGCTGATTGTTGGTTCCTTGCCTCTCAGGCAGATGCACTCCAACTTCCAAGGAATTTTAATTAATTAATTTGTCTTTCCTCCTGAACGCTAACACCACTGTTGAAATCAGTGCAAAGAGGTCAGTACCATATCACATGCAGCAGAATCATACCCTTTGACCATAAAAGACAAGTTCTGTTGACACTGCCATGTGAAGCAAAGTGACATTACGGGTATTTATTTGTTTTTCTTTCACAATGATGATAAAAAAATTAAATTTTTCACCACAAATAAATCACACATTTTAAATTTGTTGATAAATCATTCCCACCATGCCTACACACTATGTAGTTGCAACCAGTACCAACCCTGTTATACTGACATAGTGGCCACTGCTCAAAGACGTCATGTCTTCAAAATTCCCTAAAACACATAAAAATGTGTTTCTTGTGGTGACAGGATTGGGGAGCATTTGGTATATTGTACTGTGGCTTACCTCGAGGTTGTGATATCTGTGCCTTTTGGTCAAACATATTAAGTGACAGCAAAACATATAAGTCACCTTTTGCAGCATGTTTAGACTGATTCACAACTGGTTATATCAGAAGGAGTAAAAAAGGTAAAGTAAAGATCCCTTGTCACGCCTTTAGGAGCATCGGGTATATGGGAAGAGCGCCCATATTTTTTCAGACCATCGGCACTAGGTGGGTAATGTGGTCAGCATTACCCCGGCCGACTTCACTGCCCCAGGACAGCCATCATGGTTCCCATTTTAGGCTGGGTCGACCTGCGAGGCCCCATACCACGATAAAAATCCATGCAGATATCAAAAGGAGACAATCTACATTCTCTGGTCATGTGATGAGAAGCAGAAAACTGAAGTACATCATTGTAACAATGGGATTTTCCAAAGGGTTCTCAGTATGACGTCAAGGGGAAGTCAAGTGAATAGTACCCAAGTGGGGAATACTCGCAAATTTCGTGTTTAACTGAACTGTTGAAATGCGACCACTCATGGAAAGGAAGAAAGGCTTGAAGGTGAGAGAGAGAGAGAGAGAGAGTGATTGAGTCAGTTTGTGTTTGACCGTAGGAGAGGAAGGTTGCGTGCGTCAAGCAACTGACGAACATGGGATTGTTGAAGAATAGAACGAAGACAGAGAATGCATGGCAATGACAGAAGAGGAAGGATTCTGATTTGTATCGTTGAGCGATTGTGAATCTTCATGGCCCCTTGATTCAGAGGCCATATCTCAGTGTATGTGAAATGTATGGACGGAAAGGTAACTGAATGTTGTTATTCAGTTGTTTGCCAGCTGTGACAGTGTTTATGCAGGAGTCTGAATATGACAAGTGAGAACACCAGACACCTTGGTTGTACAACAATAAACTGTAATTGCGGAACATTCTGGTGTTATAAATATATAGCTGTCTTTCTGATCATACTAACTTTCCATCAGGTCAGAGGGGAGGCTGATAAAGAAATCAGCAACACTGGAGGGGAGGAGAGGCAGAGGGAGATCAAGAGAAAAGATGCAGTACAGTTTGACATCATGGTATGGGGAATCATCTTTACCCGGTTGATTGAAAGTGTACGATACAATAGGTTGTGGATAGACATGACTACCAACACCACACAGCAAGGATTGTAAGAAGAAGAACAACAACATGTTTGTTAAGGGGCAGTGGATCTATTCCTTCTTTCTCTCAAACTGAGACCCCAGAACCCAAGCAAGGATACAGCCTTCAACTTGTATGTTGTCTGGTGTCGTGTCCCCGAGCTTTTTACACCCATGGCCCACCAAAACAGGGGAAATTGTTTTGTGAACCATATGACAGCTAACCAAAGTCACAAATCTAACCATTTTAACCACTGGGGGGTGGGGGGGGGGGGGGGGGGTGTTCGGGATTTGTACCTGTCAACCATTGGCCTAACAAACATCTAAGACCTAAAGCAGGTGGCAATGAACTGCCAGACATGGAGAGCTATGACCCCTGCCGATGAACCACCCTAGGCCCAAGAGGAAAGACTAACCCATCAGATTCTCATAACTGAAGTGATAAACCCACAAACTGCAATCCTGGAAGAGGAAAACCTACCACCCTACCCCGTTACATGATTAGACATTTCTGATGGGCTACCTAGGCTTTTCTCATGGCCCACCAGTGGACGACGGTCCATTGGTTGAAGATAATGATCTCTAGTGTGTCTACCTATCTATTTTCCTCTTTTACTTACATAACTTCTATTCAATATGTGAACCTTTTTCCTACACAATTCCACTAACAAGGCACAGACACCTCTGACTTCACATGATAACCAACAAATCAAGTCGTCATGCCTTTCAGTAGAGAAGTTCCAACCTGAGTGTGAGCAAAGGTCAGCAAGCCAAGCTGGTACTTGACGACCAAATGTGAAGAGAGGAACTCAAACAATGAGGACAGCTCCAGCCAGCAGAGATCTGGTATCAGTACAAGCAGCTCAGTCTCCAGCATGCCACACCGGCTGGCGTAGATGAACTGAAGAATCTGTAGGTATGAACAGGTAGGGTTATTTTGTTTTGGATTGAGGTGAGGGAGTGAGTTATTGGGATGTGGGGGATGTTAACTCTAAAGAGTTAATAATGGCAAGATCAACTTCACTGCACTGGGTTTTTTCCCATATGGGTCAGTCTCCCTTCACAAAATGGCAAGTCACCTGCTGGGAGTGTTTCAAAAAGCATGGACTCCGTAGCTCACGTTACAATCCCCGGGAATTTCTGAAAAATGTGCACACATAAACACAATGGTTCCCCGTGTGGGTTCTGGGGCCCTATTATAGGGAAAACAAGAATAGACCCACTGCCTATCCAAAAGCATGTCGTAAGAGTCTACTAATTGGGAGCTTTCTTCGAAGTCGGAGTGCATTTGTCTGACAGGCAAGGAACCAGCAGTCTGCATACAAATGAGTCAGATCTGTTAAACGGATGCACACGCAACACTCAGGTTCTGGAACGGGACTGCGGTCTATAAATGAATGAACAACCGGAACTTTCTGCCAGAGTTTACAGCTGGTGAACAGGAAGAAGAAGAACACAATGGTGTGTTTATGAAACGTGAACCCACAACCTTCAGAGCACGAGGAAAGTAAGTCGACCATTTCACTATGGAGACACCTGATGTAGGGGATGTGAGATGGGTGAAAGGATGCTGGGGAGGGGGGTGTGAGGTGATAGGACATAGGGTATGAGTAATGTAATTGTGTGAAGTGATGTAAGGTTGTAAGGTGATGTTATGCGTGGATGTGAGGAGGTTTTAACATACCAGTGTGAGGTGATATAATGGCAACAAAGAAGAAAACAGTAAAACCTTTACTGAACCTGTTTGAGAAACGCCTTGCTTGTGTGGCTCAAGTTTTCTTCTGCCAGGTTAAAGATGCAGCAGTAAAGTTCAATGCTGTTGGTGCAGGCAAGCAACATGGTAACACGGGCTTCAACTCGAGTGATGTCCCCTTTACCCAGGCTGTGGACAGAGAAAAAAACTAAGACTTAGGAGAGATGAAAACACAAACTAAGGAGAGGAGAAAAAATCCAGATTGAGGAAAGAGAGAAACACAGACTGAGGACAGAGAAACACCCAGGCTGAGGATTGAGAAATACCAAGGCTGACGGAAAACAAACACCCAGGCTGAGGGCAAACAAACACCCAGGCTGAGGGCAAATAAATACCCAGGCTGAGGGCAAACAAACACCCAGGCTGAGGGCAAACAAACACCCAGGCTGAGGGAAAACAAACACCCAGGCTGAGGGCAAACAAACACCCAGGCTGAGGGCAAACAAACACCCAGGCTGAGGGCAAACAAATACCTAAGCTGAGGGCAAACAAACACCCAGGCTGAGGGCAAACAAACACTCAGGCTGAGGGCAAACAAACACCAAGGCTGAGGGCAAACAAACACCCAGGCTGAGGGCAAACAAACACCCAGGCTGAGGGCAAACAAACACCCAGGCTGAGGGCAAACAAACACCCAGGCTGAGAGCAAACAAACACCTAGGCTGAGGGCAAACAAACACCCAGGCTGAGGGCAAACAAACACCCAGGCTGAGGACAGACAAATACCCAAGCTGAGGGCAAACAAACACCCAGGCTGAGGGCAAACAAACACCCAGGCTGAGGGCAAACAAACACTCAGGCTGAGGACAGACAAATACCCAAGCTGAGGGCAAACAAACACCCAGGCTGAGGGCAAACAAACACCCAGGCTAAGAACAGAGAAACACCCAGGCTGAGGGCAAACAAACACCCAGGCTGAGGGCAAACAAACACCCAGGTTGAGGGCAAACAAACACCCAGGCTGAGGACAGACAAATACCCAGGCTGAGGGCAAACAAACACCCAGGCTGAGGACAGACAAATACCCAGGCTGAGGGCAAACAAACACCCAGGCTAAGAACAGAGAAACACCCAGGCTGAGGGCAAACAAATACCCAGGCTGAGGATAGAGAAACACCAAGGCCGACGACAGAGAAATATTCAGGCTAAGTAGACATACATATATGGACTGAGGACTCAAAAGAAAAAAAAACTAGGACTTTGGGCAGACAGAAACACTGACTGAGGCCTGAGAAAAACAAAAATTGAGGAAAGAGAAAAAACTCAGACTGGGGACAGAAAAAAACTAGACTGAAAACAGAGGAAACTCCAGAAAAGGGTAAAAGAAGATGACTGCAGAAGTGAGAAGTGAATGATAGCAAGAGAAGTCACAGGATCTTACCACTGGCTCTTAGGTTAACCTAATCTAAAACAGGTATTAGGAAATGTTCTGAGAAATAAAGGTGGGCTGTGTGATGCTGACCATATCACCCATGGTTTACCAAATAGCCTATACAAATTTAGGGTTAGTATCTTATATCTAAAACACTTCATGGTGTGGGGATTTAGCCCGTTTCAATTTATTTACAATTTCAATACATTTCAACTAATTCTACTTCTTCATCTCCTCCTTATCCACCTAAAGAGCTTACACTCTTGAACCACTCACCCCATATCATCCTATCTTTTGATTTCCAGTACAGCCCACACAATGACCTCATTTCTCACCTCTTTATCCATTTCCCTTGTGCTTGTTTTCTGATCAGAATGTATTCCTGTGACCATGTACTTTCAATTGCAAAGAACACTCAAGTTATTTTGTTATCAGATTTTTTCAATGCATGTCCTATCCAACACCATCATTTTTTCCTCACCTTATGTTTGACTAAGATGCAGTCAGTTCCTCCCCAAAGCTCCAAAATAATGATTCTGTCATACCATTTAATTCTCTTTACTCTTCACAGGTACAGTCTGAACATTCTTTTTTTTTTTTCTAAACAAGATTAGCTCAACGACTTGCTAAATATAACACAAAATATGACTAGAAAGCTCAACTAGCCATTCTAGTCATATTGTGTATTACATTTAGCAACTGCTGCAATCATTCCCGACTGCAGTCACCCCCTATTTGTTCACTGGCTTACCTGGCAATGTGTCGGGCCAGCAGTGACACAAACAATGGACAGCACATGCTGGGAGTCCGACACTGGTTAATAATCTTCCTCTCCAGTTCCAAATCAATCCCACAATTCATAGATGATAGTTCAGCCCACAACAGCTCTAACAGCGATACAGACTAACAAAAATTGCAGTTTCACAAATAACATAAACATAATTTTTTTTTTCAAAATTTCAAAATTGGATGAAGAACAAATATGAAGAAATTTTAACAAAACTGTGTAATCTTGTTGTAAATCATCATCATGTAGCTGTACATTGGTGCCAAAAAAGGCAACCAAACAAATACCAAACACCAAAATAATTGTTTTTTTCTTCTGCCGCTGAAATAATCTGGAATGAGCACTCAGCCTAACTGGAAACAAATATGTTGCAAATTCAAAATGTTGCAAATTCAAAATGTTGAAAATTCAAAATGTTGCAAATTCAGTGGCTGTCTGCCATTTTGCACCCAGAACTTCTGATACAGTATGACTCAAATGTCACATTAAAAAGCCACAAAAATTATCTTTTCCCAAATGTGCATCACGGAGATCGTGCTCCTGTAAATGTCGAGGATTGCAGTGTGAAATGATTTTCACTAAACTCTAAACCTTTTTGTACACAATCAACACTAACAGATGCATCTTACATTACACACTTGAAACACATTCATAAAACAGTCTATAGGAACTAATGTAACATAACACACATACCTACAACTAACACGCCACTGTGGTTGCAAAATGTTGTCTTCCAGTTTTGACTAGGTTTTTGATGTTTAAGAATTATCAAAATCACAATCATTCAACTGTCTATGAATAACTTCAAAATAATCCAATGCAAAAGCTCCACACAAATAGCACCCATATCCAAAAATCCACATAACGTGTCATCAACATTTTCTTTTTTTTTTTTTTTGGAGCTCCCAAAACATAATTAATGGCTAATTTACTTGACACATTACCAAACTGTTTCCCTTTATGAATTAGAGGAAATTAATGCGACTAACAACTTTTCAACTAGAATGATTGCAATTTTAAACATGGACAACGAGCGTCAAAGTTATGATTGCAAGGGGGGGTGCAATTACGGTAGCCCAGGCATAACCGTCAGGGCAATCGAATATTGTGCAATCGTGGTAAGCCAATAAGTTAACATGGTAGTTCAAGTACAATAACTAGAACACAGTATAATGCAATAAGCTTTATTTACAAAAACACTAAGATTTGGATAAAGGATGTCGGTTAGCTGAAGAAACATATATTGAAAGAAGGGTACTGGTATTAAAGAATTTACACCTTCTATGTGTGAAAACATTTGCGCCTGAAGCTTTTTTTGAATACGAAAAAAAAAAAATCACATTTTACAAATCAGGGCATAGGCTGAATGTGGGATAATCCCCATTTTCCATGCCTGCTTCCTGCACAATCTTACCTATCAAGATTTGGACTGAAAAAAACCCAAAAGACTGAGAAAAACCCCAAAAAGGACTGAGAAAAACCCAAAAAGAGGGCTGAGAAAGAATAAATAAGGGGAGAAAGGGCCCAAACTAAGGGCGAGAAAAACCAAAAAGGGACTGAGAAAAAACCTAACGAGGACTGAGATAAAAAACCCAAATGGGACNTGGAAACAAATATGTTGCAAATTCAAAATGTTGCAAATTCAAAATGTTGAAAATTCAAAATGTTGCAAATTCAGTGGCTGTCTGCCATTTTGCACCCAGAACTTCTGATACAGTATGACTCAAATGTCACATTAAAAAGCCACAAAAATTATCTTTTCCCAAATGTGCATCACGGAGATCGTGCTCCTGTAAATGTCGAGGATTGCAGTGTGAAATGATTTTCACTAAACTCTAAACCTTTTTGTACACAATCAACACTAACAGATGCATCTTACATTACACACTTGAAACACATTCATAAAACAGTCTATAGGAACTAATGTAACATAACACACATACCTACAACTAACACGCCACTGTGGTTGCAAAATGTTGTCTTCCAGTTTTGACTAGGTTTTTGATGTTTAAGAATTATCAAAATCACAATCATTCAACTGTCTATGAATAACTTCATCTTCACTTTCCAATTAAAAATATTCAAGAAAATATCCCATAGCATCAGAAATACTCCACCTGCAAGCTCCAACAATTCGCACCCATTATCCAAACATCCACCTAACGTGTCATCAACATGGGAGCTCCCAAAAATAATTAATGGCTAATTTACTTGACACATTACCAAACTGTTTCCCTTTATGAATTAGAGAAATTAATGGACTAACAACTTCAACTAGAATGATTGCAATTTTAACATGGCAACGAGCGTCAAAAGTTATGATTGCAAGGGGGTGCAATTACGGTAGCCAGGCATAACCGTCAGGCAATCGAATATTGTGCAATCGTGGTAGCCAATAAGTTAACATGGTAGTTCAAGTACAATAACTAGAACACAGTATAATGCAATAAGCTTTATTTACAAAAACACTAAGATTTGGATAAGCATGTCTGTTAGCTGAAGAAACATATATTGAAAGAAGGGTACTGGTATTAAAAGAATTTAGTACACCTTCATATGTGTGAAATCATTGCGCCTGAGAGCTTTTTTTTTAGAAGTACGAATAAATAAAAATCACATTGTGACAAATCAGGGCTATAGGCTGAATGTGGCAGTAATCCCCACTTCTTCCATGCTACTGCTTCCTGCACAATCTTCACACTATCAAGATTAAGGACTAAGAAAAACCCAAACGACTGAGAAAAACCCAAACAAAGGACTGAGAAAAACCCAAACTGAGGACTGAGAAAGACCTAAACTAAGGACTGAGAAAGACCCAAACTAAGGACTGAGAAAAACCTAAACTGAGGACTGAGAAAAACCTAAACTGAGGACTGAGATAAAACCTAAACTGGGGACTGAGAAAGACCTAAACTAAGGACTGAGAAAAACCTAAAATGAGGACTGAGAAAAACCTAAATTAAGGACTGAGAAAAACCTAAACTAAGGACTGAGAAAAACCTAAACTAAGGACTGAGAAAGACCTAAACAAAGGACTGAGAAAGACCTAAACTGAGGACTGAGAAAAACCCAAACTAAGGAATGAGAAAAACCCAAACTGAGGGATGAGAAAAACCCAAACTGAGGACTGAGAAAAACCCAAACTGAGGACTGAGAAAAACCCAAACTGAGGACTGAGAAAAACCTAAACTAAGGACTGAGAAAGACCTAAACTAAGGACTGAGAAAGACCCAAACTGAGGACTGAGAAAAACCCAAACTGATGACTGAGAAAAACCCAAACTGAGGACTGAGAAAAACCCAAACTGAGGACTGAGAAAAACCCAAACTGAGGACTGAGAAAAACCTAAACTGAGGACTGAGAAAAATTCAAACTGAGGACTGAGAAAAACTCAAACTGAGGACTAAGAAAAACCCAAACTGAGGACTGAGAAAAACCTAAACTGAGGACTGAGAAAAACCTAAACTGAGGAGGAAGAAAAACCCAAACTGAGCAGGAAGAAAAACGCAAAATGAGGAATGAGAAAAACCCAAACTGAGGACTGAGAAAAACCCAAACTGAGGACTGAGAAAGACCTAAACTAAGGACTGAGAAAGACCTAAACTAAGGACTGAGAAAGACCCAAACTGAGGACTGAGAAAAACTCAAACTGAGGACTGAGAAAAACTCAAATTGAGGACTGAGAAAGACCTTAACTGAGGAGGAAGAAAAACCCAAACTGAGGAGGAAGAAAAACTCAAAATGAGGAATGAGAAAAACCCAAACTGAGGACTGAGAAAAACCCAAACTGAGGACTGAGAAAGACCTAAACTAAGGACTGAGAAAGACCTAAACTAAGGACTGAGAAAGACCCAAACTGAGGACTGAGAAAGACCTAAACTAAGGACTGAGAAAGACCCAAACTAAGGACTGAGAAAAACCCAAACAAAGGACTGAGAAAAACCCAAACTGAGGACTGAGAAAGACCTAAACTAAGGACTGAGAAAGACCCAAACTAAGGACTAAGAAAAACCTAAACTGAGGACTGAGAAAAACCTAAACTGAGGACTGAGATAAAACCTAAACTGGGGACTGAGAAAGACCTAAACTAAGGACTGAGAAAAACCTAAAATGAGGACTGAGAAAAACCTAAATTAAGGACTGAGAAAAACCTAGCCTAAGGACTGAGAAAAACCTAAACTAAGGACTGAGAAAGACCTAAACAAAGGACTGAGAAAGACCTAAACTGAGGACTGAGAAAAACCCAAACTAAGGAATGAGAAAAACCCAAACTGAGGAATGTGAAAAACACAAACTGAGGACTGAGAAAAACCCAAACTGAGGACTGAGAAAAACCCAAACTGAGGACTGAGAAAAACCTAAACTAAGGACTGAAAAAGACCCAAACTGAGGACTGAGAAAAACCCAAACTGATGACTGAGAAAAACCCAAACTGAGGACTGAGAAAAACCCAAACTGAGGAGTGCGAAAAACTCAAACTGAGGACTAAGAAAAACCCAAACTGAGTACTGAGAAAAACCTAAACTGAGGACTGAGAAAAACCTAAACTGAGGACTGAGAAAAATTCAAACTGAGGACTGAGAAAAACTCAAACTGAGGAATGAGAAAAACCTAAACTGAGGACTGAGAAAAACCTAAACTGAGGACTGAGAAAAACCTAAACTGAGGAGGAAGAAAAACCCAAACTGAGGAGGAAGAAAAACTCAAAATGAGGAATGAGAAAAACCCAAACTGAGGACTGAGAAAAACCCAAACTGAGGACTGAGAAAGACCTAAACTAAGGACTGAGAAAGACCTAAACTAAGGACTGAGAAAGACCCAAACTGAGGACTGAGAAAAACTCAAACTGAGGACTGAGAAAAACTCAAATTGAGGACTGAGAAAGACCTTAACTGAGGAGGAAGAAAAACCCAAACTGAGGAGGAAGAAAAACTCAAAATGAGGAATGAGAAAAACCCAAACTGAGGACTGAGAAAAACCCAAACTGAGGACTGAGAAAGACCTAAACTAAGGACTGAGAAAGACCTAAACTAAGGACTGAGAAAGACCCAAACTGAGGACTGAGAAAGACCTAAACTAAGGACTGAGAAAGACCCAAACTAAGGACTGAGAAAAACCCAAACAAAGGACTGAGAAAAACCCAAACTGAGGACTGAGAAAGACCTAAACTAAGGACTGAGAAAGACCCAAACTAAGGACTGAGAAAAACCTAAACTGAGGACTGAGAAAAACCTAAACTGAGGACTGAGAAAAACCTAAACTGAGGACTGAGATAAAACCTAAACTGGGGACTGAGAAAGACCTAAACTAAGGACTGAGAAAAACCTAAAATGAGGACTGAGAAAAACCTAAATTAAGGACTGATAAAAACCTAAACTAAGGACTGAGAAAAACCTAAACTAAGGACTGAGAAAGACCTAAACAAAGGACTGAGAAAGACCTAAACTGAGGACTGAGAAAAACCCAAACTAAGGAAACCCAAACTGAGGACTGAGAAAAACCTAAACTGAGGACTGAGAAAAACCTAAACTGAGGACTGAGAAAAACTCAAACTGAGGACTGAGAAAAACTCAAACTGAGGACTGAGAAAGACCTTAACTGAGGAGGAAGAAAAACCCAAACTGGGGAGGAAGAAAAACCCACAGTGAGAGAGATAAAAACCCAGACTAAGAACAAAGGGAAAAAATCCAGACTGAGGACACAGAAGAAGCAGAAGAAGATTCTATGACAAACCTCCAAGCTGGTGGACAAGTTTCCTCACTGGCGGAGACAATGACTCGAGCATCAACGGGCAGTGGGTCCAGCAGCCACTTCAAGTGTACATCTGCTTGCTGAAAGTGGGATTGCATAAAAAGTAGAAAGTGGGATAGCAATAAACAACAACAACAAAATAAAAACTGACTGCTCAGTAATATGACAGGAAACGAAACAATATTACAATATTAAAGTGTGTCATAGTAAAAAGGTTAGTTGTGTATCCTTTACAGGATATTGCACAACCAACCCCAGCATCTTCCCTGGCTGTTGTGTGGTTTCTCTAGGCAAATTTATGTCCAGTAGTTTGCCATTGCTTTCTGGAAGGTCAGCCCCCTGATACCACTGTCGAAACAAATGCAAGGCACATAGCCCGCAGCTGGGTTCGAACCCGGCACCCCAGCATTACAAAGCGTTCGCATCAACTTAGCCACAGAGCCGACTGTCACATAAGTCAATTTAAAAAAAAAAAAAATTTTTAAATTTATTATTTATATTTCCTCTGTGAGATTAAAATAATGAACCAATCAAGAACTAGCATCGCTCAAGACATTTCCACAAGTCCTTTGTTCCCATTCTCAGTAGCCAAAGAAGATTTTTTCCAATCTGATTTATTCTATACAATGTCATCTACCCATAGTGGTATCATTCCAAATAATTTCTTATTTATCTGCTCACTGTCTATTATTTACTTTCATACACAGTTCTACACAGTTCTTAGAACTCTCTCTCACTTCTACAGACACAAATATTTTCACAACAAAGATATAGTACACAGAATATTCTTCATACAATGCTTCAGTTTTTTACTAAAAGTTTTAAAATTACTGCAGACATACCAGCCCCCATTTCAACAAGTTTTAAATTAAAAAAGCCAAGTGGATAAGTCACAGTTACGATGGTTTGCACACATATGCAGAACGGGAGAAAATAGGCCACCATGGCAGGCATGGAAGGCTATGAACCAAGAGATCAGACCTCCAGGGTGACCCAGGGTCCACTGGGAAGACAAAATCCAACAGTCCCTGACTGACAGAGAACTGGAATGAAACAAAGTCAAAACAAAAACTGCTGACAGAGAAGTCTGGCGATCTCTCTAGCAAACCTCTACACCCCAAGGTAGAAGAGGAGCGACAATAAAGTATAAATTAAAAAGAACAACCTGTTTTCACATGCACAAGGAAGAGCTCATACTGACCAAAACCTATCTGCACCGCTCCACAGTCATCCTTGAAACAGCTTCCCAGTAAACATAAAGAAGAAGACATATGCTCCAAAAAGAGCATCTACACACACAAAAAACCATCTAACACTTTACCCTCACCTGAAATCGGTCCACCGAATCCAGGACAAGAATGACACCACCCGGGCTCTTTGCCGAAATCTTCTCCAGCCATCTTGGAAACTCCTCCACCAGTCTGACAGGGTCAGAGGTCAAGGCTGGTGGAGTAGAGATGTGCTGCATGAGCTGCAGAGACAATTTGTTTCACAAGGTTATTTTTCAAAGGTCATAATGTCAGCAGAAATAGGAATTACACAACAAAATTCCCATGGATAGGCGGGAAAACAAACGCATATAAAATGCATACATAAGTAACTTAACAAAAGCATCAAGTACAACATATCATCATCATGTAGAAGGTCCTTTCCAGGTCTTTCGCCAGCTCTCCCATCTCAGTACAACATATAACAATGTGAATACTTAACACAATGATTATAATAATAACAATTATCATCTTCTTAGCCTTCCCTAGCTGTAAACTCCGATAGAAAGTACTAATTGTTCATCCACCCTTGGACTTTGGTTTTGATCCAGAACTCGAGTTGTGCATGCATATCCATTTTACCAATCTGGCTTATTTGTATGCAGACTGCTGGTTTCCCACCTCTCATGCAGATGCACTCAGGCTGAAAACATCCCTAATAAGCCACCTACAATGACATGCTCATTAGGATGCAGTAGATCTATTCTTTGTCCTCCAAAATGCAGCCCCAGACCCTTGTAATGTTGTGAATTCCCGGGGAAATCCCAGAAAGTTGCCAATGGAGAGGACAAGGTCAGGTGACCAGTGATACAAGAGAAAACGAGATAAGTGGGTCTCGAGTATCCCATGGTGAGCAAATAAAAGGGATACAAGAAAAGGATGAGACTGGAACGGAAGACATGAACCGAGAGACGGGAGTAAGACAGTTGAAGTTTCGGACCAGGCTGCCAGAGGTCGTATGAGAGAGAACGCCTGAAGAGAATGGAGAAATTGTGAACACGTGTAATATTTCGAGAGAATATATGAATATTTCCTGATTGCCAGTTTCAACATGTACTAATACCAGGTACAAGGCTTTAGTAGAGCATGGATGTGTGATTCGAGAGATACGGATGGATCAAAGCAGTGTGCGAGAGGATTGACCAGGCCGTCAGAGATCAGCCAGGCATAACGACCACGAGGACGAAAGAATGCGCTGCCTGTGATATGTGTGATTCAGGGAATAAAAGTCTATAAGTGAACTTTCGTCTCTGCTGTGTCGTAGCAACTTAGTGTTCGTCATACAGCAATGTGGTGTGTAAAAACATACCCCTAGCAGAGCACACTGCAACCCTACAGGGAGAATTAAAACAATAACCACAACAGCTACAAACAGTGGTGACCTGTGCCGTGAGTCTCCTGATCATTACAATTGGATCAGCGCTGATGGAGGAAGGAGTTCCTACAAAATGGTACAGTAACAAACTACTGGAGTTCTTCTCCTCTTGCAACTGTAACCTGCAATATGATCATTTTACAGTTATAAAACAGAACAGTCAAACAGCTCTCACAGTCAATCACTGAGTTAAATATGAAGCTCATAAAGCTCTTTCACAGTCAATGATTAGTGAAACATGAGCCTCACACATCTTTCATGGTTAATTAACATGAGCCTCACACATCTTTCATGGTCAATTAACATGAGCCTCACACATCTTTCATGGTCAATTAACATGAGCCTCACACATCTTTCATGGTCAATTAACATGAGCCTCACACATCTTTCATGGTCAATTAACATGAGCCTCACACATCTTTCATGGTCAATTAACATGAGCCTCACACATCTTTCATGGTCAATTAACATGAGCCTCACACATCTTTCATGGTCAATTAACATGAGCCTCACACATCTTTCATGGTCAATTAACATGAGCCTCACACATCTTTCATGGTCAATAATTTGTATAACAGTCGTGCACATCTCTCATGGTCAAAAATTTGTATAACAGTCGTACATATCTCTCATAGTCAATAATTTGTATAAGAGTGTCAAACATTTCCCATGGTCAATAATTTTATAACAGTCATACATATCTCTCATGGTCAATAATTAGTATAAGAGTGTCAAGCATCAATCATGGTAAATAATTGTATAACAGTTGTACACATCTCTCATGGTCAATAATTTGTATAACAGTCATGCACATCTCTCATGGTCAATAATTTGTATAAGAGTGTCAAGCATCTCTCATGGTAAATAATTGGTATAACAGTCGTACACATCTCTCATGGTCGATAATTTGTATTTGTATGGTCAAAATGTATACTATGACCCTCACACCTCATTGTCAGTGACTGCCACAAATTAGCATTCAGACATATGATATAAAGCATAAACCACTTGAACATAATATATAGCACATCACTCAGTTATGAAAAAAAAGACACACCACTTCAACATAATATAAAGCACACACCACTTGGGTATGAGGGAGTCGCCGTGGCGGAGCGGATAGATGCTCAACACGGATTGAAGGTCGTGGGTTTGCTCCCTGGCGGAGCCGGACTTTTTGTAAAAATGACCTTGTCTCCCAGGTCAACCCAGCCTTGAGTGGGTACGGGGTGCAAGCCCTGAAAGTAAAAGTGGCCGACGTGATGCTGACCACAGCATCCATCTTGTGCCGATTGGTCTATAAAAATACAGTGCTAGCCCTATATGCCCTATACGTCTAAAGGCATGGAAAAGGGTCCTTTACTTTTTTTTTTTTATTTACTTGGGCATGATATAAAGCATATACCACTTGCGCATGACTTAAAGTATACATCTTGTGGGCTTGATTTAAAGCATGCACTACTTGGGCATGATATAAAGCACACATCACTTCAACACAATAGAAAGCACATATCACTTGGACATGATATACACACACCACTTGGACATGATATAAAGCATACACCACTTGGACATGATACGAAGCATACACCACTTGGGCATGACACCAGGCACATACCACTTGGACATCAGCAGGGACTTGCCGGAGCCAGGACATCCAACAACAAGCAGAGGAGGCAGGGGGCCAGCCGCTGACACTTGCTGGTTCAGATGTTCATAATACTGGAGACAGCAGGACAAGATATCATCCCACACAAAAAGTGTAACAAGTCTGCTTTACTTTATGGCATTCACAAACAAAAAAGTGTAACTAGTCTGCTTTACTTTATGACAATCACAAACAAAAAGTGTAACTAGTTAGCTTTACTTTATGACAATCACAAACAAAAAAGTGTAACTAGTTTGCTTTACTTTATGACAATCACAAACAAAAAAGTGTAACTAGTTTGCTTTACTTTATGACAATCACAAACAAAAAGTGTAACTAGTCTGCTTTACTTTATGACAATCACAAACAATAAGTGAACACTGGGGCTAGGCAGCCTTTATAAGCGCATGACATTAACAGACAATGTAACATTTACAAATGAGAAGACACAAAATCATTTAAGCGAGGTTTCTACATGAAAAATCCACCTGTTTGGTCAGTTAAGGATCTGGGGCAAGTGGGAATATGAGAGATGAATACTAGCCACATAAGGTGTGAAAGGCAAAGGCCATAACTCACAACAACAACAAAACAAAATTAGATAAGGCTGTGTTGAATGTTAAGTACCTTAGGCAAGTCGGACAGTATTAGACAGATACGGAGGTTCTCAAAAACAGTATCTTTACAGGACATCAAAGAGTATCTTTATAGAAAATACAACATTATCTTTACAGGACATCAAAGTGTATCTTTATAGGAAATACAACAGTATCTTTACAGGACATCAGAGAGAATCTTTATAGAAAATACAACATTATCTTTACAGGTCATACAATATTACTTTTACAGAACACAGAATATCTTTACATAACATTTACATTACCTTTAAGAGCACATATCTTACTAAACTTTCTCATAATTCCACCCCCATTCAGGATGAAATTTTCATTATTTTCAGGCCCCAACTCGGTTGTTGCCAGGGGCCCTAATAAAACTTTTATGTTGAACCGGGTTTCTGGGACCTCTCCATGGGTGATCCTCATCCGAATGGTGGAACTGGGCGTCACAGGGTGTTTATCACTTCATGTGATGTCCAAGTGGGGTAAAATGTCAGTCAGTCTGATCAAAACTGCAAATACAACAATACCATCTTAGAACATACAATACCTTCTCAAAACCAGTCTCACATGTGGAGACAGCCGAAGTATTCAGGCAATCCACCTGCTGAGAATCACAGGCAACATCTCTGCTGACCCCAGCCAGACAGTCCAGCATCAGTGGATCCAAGGCCTCCTTGTCCACTCCAAGCTCCTGCAGCACAACAGGCAACACAGTAACAACAGACAGACAAGTGGCTGGATACACAAAAAAGGGATCACTGCAGGCCATCTATACTACTGTATACTTTGTGTGGTAAATAAGAAAACCGTTTGTCAGTATGTCTGGCTATTTATCTACCAATCCAAACCTATCAGAGTGGCAAGCACCTCTTCAGAGGTCATGAGTAGTTAGCATCCTTTGGGTTATGAGTTATGATTTGGGTTATTTGCACGTCACTCCGGACACGTCCATAGGTGCTCAGATTCCCCCTTTAACATATGTATCAGCATCTCGCTGTTGACAGTTCCAGTCCCATGCTGGTTGTCAAGACTTCTCATGCATCTGGTGTGTTTCTAGTGCCTGGCTGTGCCAATCTTTACTCCCAATTCTTGCACTCTCAGCAAAGGTGTGGATGTGCTGCTCACAAAATCCTCTGAACATCCTACATCTCAAATGGCATTAACAATGTCTGCATGATCCATGGGCCGGCCCTTTGCAACTAACGCAAAGTGGCTAATCTGTCGGCCCTTTCATTGCTAACAACACCTGCATGCCCTGGGACAAAGATAAAGGTAACGCACAGTAGAGTTTTACAATGACTAAATCCACTGTCTGCGTACAAAGCCTGCCTCAACTCGCCAGATCATGCTCATGGAATCACTCAGCACACAAATGTGAGAATAGCCCTGCGATGCTAGCCACATGAAAGCTCATGTCACTGCCATCGCACTCTGTCATGCTGCTAGTAGTCATTCAGAAGGCACCATTGACCTCCTGGACTGTTAAGCCTGCAGAGCATGCAGTAAATGCCCATGTACTTCTTTTTGTCCTTGTACAACAGAACCATTTGTGTAGATCAGTACAACCGCCTCATCTCAATTTTCACAAATAAATGTGTGGACCTCTGCACTGACAGCAACTAGATTCTGCTCCGGACAGCTCCTATCAAGTGTGGCAACATTGGAAAAGGTGCAGTTAAGCACCTAGGGCACATTGTTCATTCTTTGCTGAGTTTGATGTCTGTAAAACTGCAGACCTGTATGATATCGTCCTCTGCCCCACTGAGCCGCTAATTTCCACCACTGGTAGGTCTACCTTAACCACAGGAGTGTTAAAGGAGAACCACGTTACTGAGGCTTTTGAAGGGCTGACATTCTTTGGGTATCTTTTCCAGGTGAATGTAGGTGTATTAGGACAGGAACAGGCAGATAGACTGGCCGATTCTACACCCTTGGTGGTAAGTTCATGCATGGCAAGCTAGATGTTTTTAAAGCACTGTAGGTGGGAGTGAACAGCGTAGAGACCCAGCAGATCGCCGTGGTCTGAAGTGAGTGGTGCAACAGGAAGTGACCAGAGAATTTAGCCGACATTCAAGAGAAAGGCAAGACTGACTAACAATCAGGCTGCAACTGGTACCACTGGAACTGTAACTCTGTGCTACACGCTGAAGACAGGGACACAGCGCTTATGGGATTGCCCGGGGGTGCTATTTCAGTTCTTAACTCAACACCCATTCATTATTACATCATATCCTCTTCTTCTTCTGCCTTTCCAGCCACCACACCGTCTTCCCTAAACTCATGATAAGTCATTCTATTTTTCGCTGTCACTATATTTATTACGTCATATCACCAAGATAACAATGACAGCATTTATATTGTACCTGGGTGATGATACGCTCCAGCTCTCTGTACGCAGACATAGATATGTTACTGGGTGATGTGTGTACTATGTGAACTCTAGGGGTCACAGACTCTCGGATCTTTCTTTTCAGCTCTCTCATTTCCTGGCTTGACTTGGAACTGACAGTGGATAACATTTAAGGTTGGAACATGTGATAGTTAATAATGTGAAAGTTAGACCGTGTGATAGTGGATAATGTAAAAGTTGAAAAATGTGATAGTGGATAATGTGAAAGTTGAAAAATGTGACAGTGGATAATGTGAAAGTTAGAACATGTGACAGTGGATAACGTGAAAGCTGAAAAATGTGACAGTGGATAATGTGAAAATAGACCATGTGATAGTGGATAATATGAAAGTTAGAACATGTGATAGTGGATAATGTGAAAGTTGAAAAATGTGATGGTGGATAATGTGAAAGTTGAAAAATGTGACAGTGGATAATGTGAAAGTTAGAACATGTGACAGTGGATAATGTGAAAGCTGAAAAATGTGACAGTGGATAATGTGAAAATAGACCATGTGATAGTGGATAATATGAAAGTTAGAACATGTGATAGTGGATAATGTGAAAGTTGAAAAATGTGATATTGGATTATGTGAAAGTTGATAGTGGATAATATGAAAGTTAGGACATGTGATAGTGGATAGTGTGAAAGTTAGAACATGTGACAGTGGATAATGTGAAAGTTAGAACATGTGATAGTGGATAATGTGAAAGTTGAAAAATGTGACAGTGGATAATATGAAAGTTAGAACATGTGATAGTGGATAATATTAAAGTTGAAAAACGTGATAGTGGATAAAGTGAAAGTTAGAACATGTGATAGTGGATAATGTGAAAGTTTAAAAATGTGGCAGTGGATAATGTGAAAGTTAGAACATGTGATAGTGGATAACGTGACAGTTAGAACATGTGATAGTTGATAATGTGAAAGTTAGACCATGTGATAGTGGATAATATGAAAGTTAGAACATGTGATAGTGGATAATGTGAAAGTTGAAAAATTTGATAGTGGATAATGTAAAAGTTTAAAAATGTGACAGTGGATAATGTGAAAGTTAGAATGTGTGATAGTGGATTATGTGTAAGTTGAAAAATGTGACAGTGGATAATGTGAAAGTCAGAACAAGTGATAGTGGATTATGTGCAAGTTGAAATATGTGACAGAGGATAATGTGCAAGTTGGAACAATTTACAGGGGATAATGTGCAAGTTGGAACATGTGACAGGGAATAATGCACAAGTTGGAACATGTGGCAGGGAATAATGCAAAAGTTGGAACATGTGACAAGGGATAATGTGCAAGTTGGAACATGTGACAGGGGATAATGAAAAAGTTGGAACATGTGACAGGGGATAATGCAAAAGTTGGAACATGTGACAGGGAATAATGAAAAAGTTGGAACATGTGACAGGGGTTAATGCACAAGTTGGAACATGTGACAGGGGATAATGCAAAAGTTGGAACATGTGACAGGGGATAATGCAAAAGTTAGAACACGTGACAGGGGATAATGTGAAAGTTAGAACAAGTGATGACTGTGAATCAACAACCATGATAAGACTGCAATAACAGCAAGTAAAAAGGAGCATGGCTAAACAAGACAACTGTACAGGAAGCCAAACAGTGATAAACTAACACAGAATTGGTGTTGTCATCCACTACATGCTAAAGGATATAATGAGGAGGGACTCTAAGCACTTACAGACTGAACAGTTTATGTAAAATGAATATGATTTGTCAACTAACAGACTGCAACTCCTACCTAGGGGTAAATAGCGGTCATTTTCAGAAGCCAGTGCAGTGTGCATAACTGAGATAATACAGCAGTGGAAAAAGAAAAGATCCCAGTGTTGGATAGGACACATGTTCAGAAAACCTGAGAATAATATAATTAGAATGTCTTTACACTGGAAGCCACAGGGGCACAGAAATAAACAAAGTCCATAAAACACAGAGAAGGGAGCTAGAGAGAAGTTAAATGATGGGGAGAGCTGCATGCAATAGCAAAAGATAAAACCACTTGGCGTGAGTTGGGTAAGGGTGTGTGCTCCATTAGAAAGGCAGAATAAGAAGACAGCAATGGAACTGGGGAATTCTAGACAAGGTTTTGAGTGTGATTCACCTTTTGTTATCTTGTGTCTCCGACATGAGAATGATACAGGTTTTACTGTCTGGGTTATCCAAATGGGCTTGTCTGATCTCCAACTGGGAAAATCTGGTGAATCCACACACATATAAATACACTATAAACATCTCCAACTGGGAAAACCTGGTGAATCCACATATGATTGCATTATAACATACATCTCCAACTGGGAGACATGGCAAAACCCATATATACGATTTCACTATATCCAGCTGTGAAGAATTTTGAAACAACACACAAACACACTATATCTCTAGCTGTAAAAACATACTAAATCAACTTACACATTATATCTCCAGCTGTGAAAACCTAATGAATCAACACATACATTACATCCCTCCTGCTGTGAACACATACAAAAGGTCTTCAGTAATAAGAACCTGGCAAATCATCATCATCAACACCAAGTATCTTGCCAACTGGCATGGGTGATTATGTCTCTCAATAACCTGCAATCTCCAACAGAATTCATCAGGTATAAATAAGCCACATCTGTAGAACGGATGTGCAAACAAACTCAAGTTCTGGAACAAGACCAAAGTCCAGAAGTGGACAAGTAACCAGAACACACATGGGAAGGACAAACACACAAACTGTAATAATGAAACGTTTCAGGACACAACCTGTTTCATGAAGGCCTTCAATTTATATTAAAAACATTTTATATTTCCTAAATTAATGTAACTGTTATAATTTATGAGTAAAAATAATAAAACCAAAAATATACTAGTTCGAGCAACACCCCCTGACACTGCTGCCGACACACTAATGTGTCAGATTACACAGTTTGGGAAGCTGTGGACTAGAATATGTGAAAGTCACATTTTTCACCTCAAATGAGCAATAAACGTTTTGGGACAACCCATATACCATACAAACTATGCTGATACAGATGTACAGATAAAAGGGGATTGACTTGTGCAAGGGCAACTATTTACTACACAAACTATGCTGATACAGACACATAGATGACAGGGAACTGACTTCTGCAAGGTCAACCATTTACTATACAAACTATGCTGATGCAGACACATAGATGACAGGGAACTGACTTGTGCAAGGGCAACCATTTACTATACAAACTATGCTGATGCAGACACACAGATGACAGGGAATTGACTTGTGCAAGGGCAACCATTTACTATACAAACTATGCTGATACAGACATATAGATGACAGGGAACTGACTTGTGCAAGGGCAACTATTTACTACACAAACTATGCTGATACAGACACATAGATGACAGGGAACTGACTTGTGCAAGGGCAACCATTTACTATACAAACTATGCTGATGCAGACACACAGATGACAGGGAATTGACTTGTGCAAGGGCAACCATTTACTATACAAAATATGCTGATACAGACATATACATGACAGGGAATTGACTTGTGCAAGGGCAACTATTTACTACACAAACTATGCTGATACAGACACATAGATGACAGGGAACTGACTTGTGCAAGGGCAACCATTTACTATACAAACTATGCTGATGCAGACACACAGATGACAGGGAATTGACTTGTGCAAGGGCAACCATTTACTATACAAACTATGCTGATACAGACATATAGATGACAGGGAACTGACTTGTGCAAGGGCAACTATTTACTACACAAACTATGCTGATACAGACACACAGATGACAGAAAACTGACTTGTGCAAGGAACTCCCAAGGAAGGCCATAAAAATCAGAGACATGTCCAACTGCTGCCTGTGTATCTTCACATGCTGCTCCCAGCTCTGTAAACATAACAACAATCCGGTAACACTTGGAGACATTTCATCAACTTCTTGTAACCAATGTCTGCAGTAAAAACACTACCAAATAATATGTAACTATACTTACTGAAAATCTTGTAGTTAAAAAAAACTCTACTCAAAATTATGTAATTAACAAGTTTTAAAAAAAATAATAATAAAAGATTCTGTAAATAAACCCTACCAAAGATTTTAAACTGAAGATTCCTTAATCAAACCACAGCATTAGCGCAGTCGATCGGAGACTCGCCTTAAAATCCAGCACGACTCGCTGCAGCCCACGGCAGGTGTTCGAAACCTTGGGGTTCCCGAGGTTCACCCAGCCTCTAGAAAATGGGTACTAAATGGAGGAACATCGCTGTAGTAACGGAGTTGCGTACAGACGGCGACACAGGTGGATAGTTTCTTATCAGCTGTCAGTACTGGTGGCAGAGCACTTCTGGTTTATAACCGTGTGCAATGACGCTGGTACACATCTCCCGACTTTACCTTTTTACAGCTAAGATTATGAAACTAAATGCTACCGATGTTTTTAAGCCAAAGATTCTGTAACTAAAACTTATCAAAGTTTATAACTTTCAGATTCTGTTACTTCTTTTCTTCTTCGCCGTTACCATCTGTAAACTTCATTGGAAAGTTCTGGTTGTTTATCCACCTTTGGACTTTAGACTTGTTCTAGAACCTGAGTGTTGCATACAGATCTGACTTAGTTATATGCAGACTGTTGGTTCCTTGCCTCTCAGGCAGATGTACTCTGACTTCAAAGAAAACCTCCCAATGGGTCAACTCTTATGAAATGCTTGTTGGAGAGGCGTGGGTCTATTCTTGTTTCTACCACAATGGGTCCAGGAACCCACACAGGAATTTCTGTAACTAACATTACAAAATATTCTTTAAATAAAACCTACCACAGAATCTGGAAGATGCACCTCACATGGCAAATACACAAGAGACAAGACCTTGGATTCCTTCTCACACAGTTCTCGCAATTTGGGCAGGTGATCCTGCAGTATAAAAAGTCTATGGTTAAGCAAAAGCAAAGAGATCAAAAATTAGAATTTTGAGAGCAAGCATCTTTCCTGTAGCGACATATGGATGGGAGTCATGGACTATCTCCCAGTCTTCAAGAAAGAGAATATGGGCTTTAGAGCTGAAATCCTATAGAAAGATTCATAGAATATCTTGGACAAAGAAGAGGAGAAATACTGACATCTTGAAAGATCTGAACATCAAGGAAGATTGGCTTTTAAACAGAATCCTGTCATAGAATGTGAAATATTTTGGTCATATCATCATGACGGAATGGAGAAGATAATAGCAGAAGGCATGGTACCAGAAAAGAGGGACAGGGGCCGATCAACACGAAGATGGGCACAGGGTATAATTGGCTCCTTAAGTATGAAAGTGCATAAGGTGGGAGAGCTGGCGAGAGACAGAGGTTCTTTCCAGCAGACTGTGATGAGAGTGACGTTCCGCAAAATACCTGCTACATGATGATGATGATCCTGCGATACAGAAGATCAACGTGGACTAACATTATACTTACTTACTGATTTCCTTACTTAGTTGATTCTCTTTGACCTCGGGGTGTAGAAAATTGCTAAAGAGATTGCCAGACCTGTCTATCAGTGGTCTAACATTGGACATACAACTGAATATATCCCAAATCAAAATGTATTTTTTTACATTTTCAAATTTGTGACATAGTCTACCTTGTTAAACTAGAATTCTGTTCCCCAATTACTGTAAAATCATGGAAAATATAAACAGTCAAATTATCTTACTGTTTTTTCTTATTATTATCCTTTACCGGCTGTAAACTCTGGCAGAAAGTTCTGACTGTTCCAGTTCTGGTCTTATTATAGAACTCAAGTTTTGTGTGCACATCAATTTTACAGATATCGCTTAATTTTATGCAAATTGTTTGTTTCTCGCCTCTCAGGCAGATACACTGATTTCGAAAAAATGCCCCAAACAGTAGACTTTAATAGCATGCTTGTTAAAGGGGCAATGGGTTTATTCATTGTTTTCCCTACAATGGTCTCTAGAACCCACACGGGGATGACTCTGTTGCAGCTGTTGAAATGGATGTCTCTGTGGTCTAACCAGTGCCCTGCATTCTGAAGATTGTGGGTTCATTTCACAGAAGACGCAATTTTTATTGAGAACACTGGGAACTCTATCATACAATCTTTTTTTGCCAACCCTGTGTATCAATGCCAGACCTGCACAATGGCAGAAAAGAAAAATTACAACTGAAATGAGATTCCTTCAAAGGGCTCTTAATATAACAAGAAGAGATGATCAGCAATGATGAAACCCAAAGGAGAATGGGGGTAGCAGCAGCTCCGGATTTCATTAGAAGATATCAGGTGAAATGGTTTGGCCATATAACGCGGATGTCAGCAAACAGTAGACCACAGCAAGCAATGATGTACGGAGCAGGCAGAAAGCGAAGAAAAAGCCTACCATGCAAATTATGGACAGAAGGACTAAAAGTCCCTGGGAATCCCTATTTATGAAGCACACTTGTAAATTATTCTTCAACTTGACACCGCAAGGAGGATCAAAAGAGGATCAGGATGAGATGATGATAACTGAGGAATGTCACTGGAGCTATGGTGTTTGTGCCTTCTGCAATTCTTACAGAAGACAACTAGACTCTCAACATTATACACAGCCATTTGGGATATAAAATCCAGTGTGATGAAGTAGATTCTCTTGACTTTCCACATTTACTTCATATTTCAGTTACTATTTACCTGCAGCGGTGAGATGGCAACACTTTAAATATGTGCAATGAGGTAAAACCTGCTGATTAACTGACTAACTAGCAGTTACCTTACTAGTCTTGCTAGTCACACTCGCCATCACCATGCGCTGTGAGTCCCATGCCTTCTCTTAGCACTATATAACACTAACATTTGGAAAGACGGAGAGGTGCCTATCAATCAGTATTTACCTGGGTAAACTTGTGGTACTCTGCCGTGAGATCTGGCGACACAGAAGCATAGATCCGCACAGTCTGAGTGATGGTCTGGGCCGGCAGGGAGTGGGCCATGTTTCCTCCGTTCATAAGTGCCAGGTTCCAGTCCTCTACAGATAAAACATTCAGGAGAAATCAGGACAATCAGCTATCACGTGAAATCCATAGGTGTCTTCTGCTTCTTCTTCTTCTTTGCATTCACCAGCTGTACCTGCTGGCAGAAAGTTCTGGTTGCTCTGCCACTCCTGGACTTTGGTCTATATTCAGAAATTGAGGTTTGCATACATTTCCTGTGATCCTCCTTTGGTATTTGTA